CTAAGCATCCTAACTGTGACGAGTGATAAGATGTTTGGTCTAGAACATAGGTTGGATGCCCTGTGTTTGTTTTATCTCAGAAACTCAAAAGAAACAAGAAATTTTTTTTATTGGAAATGTACATGACAGGAGTGGATTCTGTATTGTCAAACCTGAAACAGATTCAATATGATATTGATAGGGATAGTCATGATGATGAGTTAAAAAAAAAAAAAATTTCAGTTTGACCAAGTCTTAACATTAACTTCTTTCTTTTTCTTCGTACATTTTATTTTTTAAAAGAAATTTTAGTTATTTATTTATGTTTTGTTTTAAAAGATATGATAAAAAGACAAAAAAAAAAGTTAAAAATTAGATCTTTTAAATTAAAGGAGAGAATAAAAATAGTAAAAAGTATAATAAATGTATTTATTATTTATTATTTAATATATTTTATAATTACATATCATTATTAAATTATAAAAATGAAGAAAGAAATATTAATGCAAAATTACAAAATATCAATAAAATATTTACAAAATAAATTATTATAAACATAATCATATGTTTATGTGTTTTTCCTTCGTACAGACTTTTTCTTTTTTTTCTATTATATTTTTTATAAACTATCTCTATAATTGTACAAACTTTACCTTTTTTCTTTTTTAATCACCACGCATGCAGACTAAAATATTTTTTTATATATAAATATCATCTAAAGTTAAAAAAAAATTATTAAAAATAACATGCATAGTAAAATGGACTACCTTTTTTAAGTACAAGGACAAAAAGTAAAGTTTATTCAATTAAAAGGACCAAATGAGTAAGCTTTCCTTTTAAAAAACATCATAAAACAGCAAACCACACAAACTAAGCGGAAAGAGGAACATGCAATGAAATCGAAAATGTGAATGAGAAAAGACGATACCGGATTGAGAAGTGGAATCGCAGAACAAACCTACAAAACAGGAAATGAGTTCATCAAGATAATCACAAGACATGCATGATAGATTTTGAAAGAATAGAAGACGATGATAAAAAATTGAGAAACACACTCGAACTCTTCAGATGTTCGCTGTGTTAGCCGTTAGGGCTTTGCTTTTCTGAAGTGAAGCGCGGAAGTGAGAATGGAAACTTGCATTTATATGTTTGAAATCCGAGGCGTGCAAGAAACGCAACTTTGGAATAAAATGAATATTTTATTATGTATTTTTCTTAAAATAAATATTTTATTATGATTTATTGAAATAAATTATCAATATTTAAAATTAATAAAAAAATATTTAAATAATTTTAATTTTATTTAAAATGATTTTTTATTTTAAATAATTTGTATTAAAATAGTAAATTTTATTTTAATTATTTTTATTAGTAACTTTGTATAAATATTTTTAATAGAATAATTTTAAGTTAAAAAAAAAATTTACGGCCAATTTTATAATTTAATTATTTTTTTCATGATTTACACATTTTCTTTCGTTCATTTTATTGCTAAATTTTTCATTTTTGTTCTCACATTTTCTTCGTTAATCGAATTATTCAAAAGATTAATGAAATTGATAAAAAAATAATAAAAGAAAAAATCACTTTCACTCCAATTTTTTAGTTTTTATACTCTCATAATTATTATTTATATAAAATTCTCCTTTCTAATCATTCAAACATACAATTTTAGGTTAACTCTTTTATAAAATCAAACTCGTGTAAGAATTTATTCAATCATAACAACTCCTTGCAAGCTTATGTAATAGTAATGAATTTTGCCTCTATAGTAGATCATATACACACTTTTGCAATCTTGATTGTGAAGTCACAACTCTCCCTGCAAACTTAATCAAATAGCTCAAAAATAAACTTTTTGGAATCAATGTCTCCAGTCATATATGAGTCCGAGTAACTCATCCATAATGGGTTTTTCACCTTCAAAACAAAGTTTTAAATCATTATACCAAGAAGATACCTCAAAATCCATTTTAATACTCTATACATGGATTGGACAAAAATTGACTGACTATACCAACAATGTGTACAATATCTGGTCTAGTACATATCATTGGATACATCAAACTGCCCACTCTAAATGCATAAGGATTTCTCAACTTCATTTGAAGGATTCTGCTTAACACTCAATTTAAAATAAGTTGCAAGAAGAATGCTCATTGCTTTAACATTTTTTATCTGGAATCTCTGCAACAGTTTCTTAACATAATGTTCCTTTGATAGCCAAATCTTATTTTTACTTCTATCACGTGAGATGCTTATGTCAATAATCTTTTTAGCAACTCTCATGTCTTTCATGGAAAATGACTCGCCCAATTATTTTTTAACTTGTTAATTATGGAAATATTTTTTCCAATAATAAGTATGTCATCAATATATAACAATAGAATAATAAAGTCATCATTAGATAACTTTTTAACAAAGACACATTAATTAAAAACAGTCCTTTCATAATCTTGATCACACATAAAATATTCAAACTTCTTGTACCACTATCTTAGTTTATTTCAAACCATATAGGTTATTTCATGTAAATCTCTTACTCCAAATTACTATGAAGGAAAGTTATTTTCACATCCATATGCTTAACCTTCAAATCAATGTAGCAGTTAAACTTAGAAGGTTCTAATGGATGACATTTTCATCATATGTGAGAAAATCTTATTGAAACACCTTTTTTTTGTCTAAAGTCTTTCATTACTAATATGGCTTTCTACCTTGGAAGTGTAGAGTTAGTCTCTTACTTTATTCTGAAAATCCACTTATTCTCTAAAACCCTTTTGTCCTTAGGCAATTTTACCAAGTCATAAATGTGATTATCATACAAAAATTTCATCTCATATTGCATTACATCTAACTTTCTTGAGGGAGGATGCTTCTTAAAGGATTTTTAGTTTGTTTACCAGTCATGCAATGAGAACATTTCTCCAACTCTTCACTCTTCAATCCTAAAATCATATTCTTTTTAACTATGTAATTAAGCCATTTTTCACTTATATGACAAAGCCTTTAGTGCCCCAAAGATGTCTCCATATACATAACATTCACATTGTCCTTAACAACTAAAGTTTTAGTCCAAAATAATTTAGAATTTTTCTCCCCTCTAGCTATGACCAAGTTACCTTTAGTGAGCTTCCATATACCAAAACCAAAGTGATTGTCATAACCACAATCATCAAGCAAATGCACATATATCATATTAAAACACACATCTGGAGCATGTTTGACTCCTGAGTAATAATTGCACTCTCATGTTGGTTTGCAAGTAAATATCACCAACACCAATAACCTTTGACACACCATCATTACCCATCTTCAACACTTCAAAATCACCATAAGTGTTAGATGTGAAGAATTCCTTCCTTGGTATAACGTGCAGTGTAACACCACTATCAATTATCCACATGTTCTCATCAGATACAAGGTTAACAGACTCATAGTTACGAAAAAGAACAAGATCACCATTTATAGTAGTAACATCACCATCATGATCAATTATCATTTTTTGGATGTGTCCAGGTTTATTATAATAATGATACTTCACATTTTTGTATCTTGTCTCAGACATGTTTCTGCTCTTGTCCTTATCACCCTTTGGTTCCTTTTTTTGACCTCTCCCTCTATTTTCATTGATAAATACCTCGTACTGAGATAAAGAACCATGTCCCTTTCTTCTCATCTCCTCTCCTCATTAAGAGCATCACTCTTTATCATTTAGAAAGAAACAATATCATTAGGGACTAATTTTGTAATTGAAACCCGAAATATCTTTCAAGACTTTGGTAAAGTATTTAGTAGTCATAGTCTCAAAATTTCGTCATCAACATTTATATTCATTCCTGATAGTTGATCTTGGAGCCCTTAAAACTTATTTAAGTGATCTGAAATGGAAGAACTCTCTTTGTACCTTTAATTCATCAAACAATTCAATAAATACAATTTATTATTGCTTCACTTAGAAACATACAAGGACTCATTCTTCTCCTACAAAGTTTTAGCTTATGTCTCATTAGCAATTTGATTATAAACATTGTCTTCTACATATTGCCGAATAAAACCACACACTTGTGTTGGTGCCCAAAAAGTCTCATTTTTCATCAGTCATAGAATTCGGCAATATGTATGCAATTTCTTCACAAACAACAAATCTTTTATCTTACATTTCCACAAATGATAATTTGCTCCATTTAAAGCAATCATTTTTGTATTTGTCTTTATTATTCAAGCAAGTAAATATAGCAAAAAAATCAAGAGCTCTTATACCACTCTTATTGGAAAAAAATAACATAACAACAAAAAAACACAAAAGTATGCAGCGAAAATAATTTTCCTAAATGTACAAGAATACGTGAAAAATAACAATAGAAAATGACAAGAATAATCATAGAAAGAACACCAGTATTTTTAACGTGCGAAAACCTTCTTAATATGAGAAGTAAAACCCCCTCAATATTTTAATATCAATCAAGTTCCATTAAAATCAAAATGAGAGTAAGAGAGTCAAATCAAAATACACAAATACGTGCTTATAAATAACCAAAATTTCACTCCAATTCAATGGTGAATGAAGTGCGAATCTAACTTTATTGAGATGGTTCGGTAAATAAGCAAAATATTGTTCTTTTCTTTTTCTCTTCCAAAGATTGTGAAATTTACGGCTCTATTCTAACCTAGAAGACCTCTCTTCACTTAAGTTAAGTGAGATAAGATGGGAGTTCAACGCTAGGCAAGACCGGCTAATGGGCTAAAACTATCAACTCGTCCACCTATTTTTAAGATGAGTAACGTGCTAGCACATCGGACTTAACTCATTTTGTTATCCCTATGAACATCCATAAATAAAAAAATAAAATAAAAAATCTGATTCAAAATTTATCGATTTTTAGATTAATTTTAGTTTTTTTTTTCTGTAGTTTTTATTTTAAACACCTCAATGGGGCAATAACATGACTTTATAATTGTTACATTAACTTTTCAAAATAAATTTATTCAAGATAGTTTGCATACACTCAAATTATTACTCAAAAACTCTGTTTATAGAACTCCATCACTCCTACAGTAGCTGAGATGCCACTGCATGCAACTTGAAACTTGGAAAAACCAGAACTCTTGCACAAGTTCTCAAATTCATTCTGAGTTCTTTCCCTTCCACCATGAGCTAAAAACATGTGATTGTCCACAATGCTACTATGTTTAGATGCATCACTTGCATTTGGAACCTCTGGAATTATGTAGTCCAAAACAATCACTTTTCCATGCGGTGGCAAAGCTTTGTGACAATTTCTTAAAAATTTTATACAATCTTCATCTGCCCAATTGTGACATATAGACTGACATGACCAAAACACAAAGAAGAAGAAAATGTGATTAGATTTTTATTTACAATATATAGAATTTGTTAAAAGTACAAAACAAAAAATGCACTAACCTTTAGTAAGATGGCATCACCATTTGGAACACGTTCAAACATATCTCCTCCCACATGCTCTACACCTTCATGCAGAAGGAGTGTTAATTTGCTAATTAATAATTTTGACACAAACTTTTAAAATATATCTGTAGTTTCTTTATATATAGAGAAAGAGAAAGAGAGACTAGTATATGTGTACCTGGATGAGTTGGTGCATCTAGAATCATCTGAGGCAAATCAAAATTAATTCCTTTGATTGAAGGATATGCAGAGATAATCAGTTTCAGGGTCTCTCCTACTCCACCTCCTACATCAACCAGTGTTGACAATCCCTCAAATCCTTTATATACTTTGAGTACCCTTTTCACTTCTATTGGACCAGCATGAGCCATTGCCTTGTAAAACATTTGATTCAACTCTGTGTTTTTCTCCATATATTGATATGACAGCATTCCAAAGACACTTTCGAAATGGTTATTGCAATCAGGGTCCAGAAATGCACCTTTTGCATCCCTCCTATTAGGAGCAAAAATGACACAAAAGCATATGAAAATCCAACTACTTCTACCACTCTAGAAAATGTTTAACTTAATTACTCATTTCTTCTGGTTACAAATCTTTTTCAATTCTGATTGCAGAATAACACTTATGACATTGTATATAAGTTTAGTCTTACTTTAATATCATTTAGTCTTACCTTAATATCGTTTAGTCTGTAAACATATCATTTTAATTCATATTACTAAGAGAGATTAAAAATGAAATCCTAAAGCATTAAAGATGATATTTATAAGGGTAAATAACCATTGACATTATTATTGAATGCGTAAACTATCTGTAATTTTAGAGTTCAAAACAGAAAATTCTGTAACAAGCAAGTAAAATTAAACTATTAATTACCACAGCTCATGAAATCCGCGATGAAGTAAAGTTGAGAGTGGGGCCAGAGAGATTCCTTCATCGTCATAAGCAAAGTAATGGCCAACAGGTGAGAGAGAATAAATCCTTTCTCTCTTACCATCTTCACTGGTTCGAATGGAGCAATTAAGAAGAGAGTAACTGGCCAACAATGGCAACATTCTTTCAAGCCTATTAACCAATTGTGAGTGCTGATTTGCAAGCAGAGAAGCGATTTCAGAGGCAGAAAAACTTGACTCATCACAAGAACTCTTTGCCTTGGCTATGACATCAAACAAATTGATGTCAATAGCCGCGTTTAGAACTGCAGGGAGGACCCTGCTAAAACAAAGCAACACAGCAGAGAGGTATGCATCATCCACCTTTTCTACTTCTAAAGGAACTTCACTCTCTTGGGTGTTAGAATCCATTTTTATAAGTGTTGTTGTGAGCTTTGTTCAGTTTTTGTCATGTTTATATAGACATCATATGTTCCTCCATCGCATGAAAATTGTTGCTTGGAATAATTACAGTTTGGTTGGTGGAATGAAATGGGCACGTGCATGAGGCTGCTATCTAGCATTGACTTTTCTTTTGAATAGGTTTCATTCCTCCATTTGATACTTTAAATATTAAGTAAATGCAGACAAATTTGGTTCTTTTGTCCCTAAATTAATGTTTTTTTTAACCATTCTATGCATAATTGAATTTGTACAAACTATCATTATCACTTTTCCCTGGATGTAAATATTATGGAAGAATACATTTATTCATATAACAATAAAAAACTTTTCCCTTTTGACATGTAATTAAGACTAAACAATTCTTTAAGACTAAAAAATAAAATATTATTTTATTTTTCATCATGTTCACGTCTGGTTTTCTTCTTCTTTTTTTGAAGTCTTTTATTATTTAACTAATATTATTGTAAAAAAATAAAAAACAATAATAATATAATAACAAAAACTCAACCATAACACTTGGGTAAAATTTGGAATCATGGTTGAGCTATGAATAGTGATGGAAAAATGGGATAAAAGACTTGCAAACATGCTTAAAATAGTAACCATTGAACCTATTTCCAAGAGGGGTAACACCTCCTCTTGTCATTGTTTCTGCTACTTCCACTAATCATGCTTTAGAAACTCAACCTTCAATAACCATTGAACCTATTTCCAAGAGGGGTAATTGGAGGGTTCGCTTCCCTCCCGATTTTGGGACCCTAAATATGCTTGGATACTCATCAAGATTGATTTTTATGCCTCCGAGCTTACCTCTGTCTCCTCCAAAAAGGATATTTAAAAAATTTATTGTGTTTGTGCTGATACATATACAAAGTTTGTTATTACCGAGACATATTCTCGTTATGATAAATTTACATGAAATCTCTAGTATATTTGGAGGATTTTACCTATGAACTCTTGTTTAAAAATTTAGATATCCTCATTCCTCTTTTTGACTTTGAATGGGACATGTTGTTAACCCTTTGTGTAGCCCCACTCAGTTGCATCCAAATAGTTAGGCTTTTTTTTGAAAGTGTTTCAAGTTTTTTGTGGCCTTCTTAATATGTTTTTTACTATAAATAAATTTATGTATTTTTATCAATTGAAACACACTCAAGAAGTCAATTGGGTATCTCTAAATGGTTTCCAACACAATGATTTGTTCACAATGTTTTCCTCGTCTTTTAAACGTTTTAACTATCACTTCTTTAAAATAAAACGTGCTTTGGAAGATGTTACTCACCATTATTCCTTAATTCCGAGTATTTAACTATTGTAGCGCAATTTTGAATCATTATTGCAACGTAACTATTTAACTCTCATTTCCCTTACCAGCCTTAAACCGACAATTAAGGCTTCATACTCGACTTGATTATTTGAGGATTTAAACTTGAACCTCAGTGCTTTCTCTACAACGATAATGTCAAGTCCTTCGAGAGTAATCCTGGCACTGCTACCTCTGCTATTTGAGGAAGGTCCACCATTCATGCCTTTCTCTCAAAGGAGGTAAATCTAAAATAAAATCGGCTAGAAATTTAGCATTCATTGATCCTTGTCTTTCATAAGAAATGTAGATCTGAGATAATTCTATGCCCAAGCTATCATTCTTCCGACCAATTTGAGCTTTTGTAAGATTTTCCTTATAGGATAATCAATTTTTACTATTATAGAAAATATTTGGAAATAATGTATTAGTTTGCATGCCAAGTTTACCAAGGCTAGAATATGTTTTTCCAAGGTGGAATATCTCTTCTCTTATGGTTGTAGAATTTTACTTGTAAAATATACCGGATTTTGTTGGTTGTTAGCCTCACATACTAATATCGAGCTTATGCTTGAATTAGAGACAACTAGGTATACTAGAAGGATACCTTCGAGAAGTGGACTAGTCAAAACGGGTAAAGAGGCTATATCATTTTTTTATTTGTGAAACATTCCATCGCATCCATGTTCCACTCAAATTTTTGAGTTGTCTTGAACAACTTGAAGAATGATTTTGTTTTCTCAACTAACTTTGGAATGAACTAAGCTAGAGAAACTAGTTTTTTGTTTAATATTTGTACTTCCTACACGTTTCGAGGATTCTGCATGGTGAGTATGGCTTCACATTTGTCAAGATTTGCCTCGATTCCTCTTTGTATAATCATAAAACCTAAAAAATTTCTGTCGTTAACCACAAACACACATTTTTCTAAGTTAAGTCTCATGTTGTGTTTTTGCACCTTAGTAAAGACTTTCTTAAGGTGACTAGCTTGGTCCTAAGCCTTTTTGGAATTAACAACCATATCATCTACATATACCTTCATTATATTTTTCATTAAGTGTTTGAACACTTTATCCATTAATCTTTGATGTGTGATCTTGACATTTTTCAGGCAAAAAGGCATGACTTTAAAACAAAAATTAGCTTCCTAAGTGATGAAGATTGTTTTTTCCTTATTTGGAGGATACACGATTATCTTATTGTACCCAGAATAAGCATCTAGGAAACTAAACATTTCATAGCTAGAAGTGTTATCCACTAGCTGATCAATGCTCGATAGAGGATAAGAATATTTTGGACAAACCTTGTTCAGATTAGTGTAATCAACACACATGCGTCATTTATCATTGAATTTTTTACTAGCATTACGTCTGATAGCTAAGTAGTATAAGTTACTTCTCGAATGAATATCAACTTTTATCACTCTCTGAATTCTTTAGGATTTGCTCTAATCGTGGTGATACATCCTCCTTTTGTTGGGGATTTCCAGGTCAAAAGTGGAATGGATACAATAGCTCCAAGCTTATTGAGTTTTTTCCTTCCTATCAGGTCTTGTGGAATTGGGGATTTTCTTGTCTTCATCCTTAAAGGGTAAGGAAGGTTTGTCGATGAGGTCTTGTGGCTACAAAATTGACTTTGAACTTTTATGTCAGTGTTTCAAAAGATTTTATTGATTTAGGGAGTAAATCATCAAATCACTTGAGTGTTGCTCCCTTCAAGGTCATTGGATAGAGAAAGACATTATTTTTACCAAATATACTAACCTGAGTCAATTAAGACCAGACATGTTCGTTCCCACCAAAGTTCTCAATTGTAGGTGCCTTCCAAATTGATGGTAATGGTTCCTCTAGAATTTTAGGAGTAAAGGAATATCTAAGCTTTAAACTTGGTTGACCCGTATTCCTCAAACGTCAAACTCATCTTCTCCTCCTCCCCCCAAACCTTATGGCTAGATTCACCCTCAAAATGAGTATGTGCTTTGATGGATATGGATTGGTACCATGACTGTGGTTGGTTCCTGGGTGAGGCATGACTCCTTAGAGTAGATCTTATCAATAAACGTAATTGTTTCTCTATTTCTTTACTTTTCTTCATATATTTCAACTTTATGTTTCCACTTAATTTTGACAAATTTTGCTTCATTTCTTTGTTGCATTTTAATTTCAAGTTGATGATATTTTCGTGACTCATGATGATAGTGAGTGTGAGACTAGTCATCTGAAATATATTTTATCGGGTAAGACAATAGGTGCCAAATATTCTTGATAAAAAAAGAATGACAATATAATAACAAAAACTCCACAACAAGACTTGGGTAAAGTCTTATTTAACTGAAATATTGAAACAACTTGGGTTGGGCTTGACTACCCTATCAATAAAAAATAAAATAAAAAATAACTATTTTCATGTAAGTCAAAAATTTGGCGCCTCTCAATATTGAAAAGTCATATATTTGTCAAAATAAAAGTCATATATTTGTCAAAATAAATAAAAGAAATGGGATTATAAATAGAAAAAAATGCTCTGAATCTGTTCAAAGAAGCCATTTGTAAATTTCTGCGCATACTTTTAATTTGGCTTAATGGTATTTTCCACCGGATCCGTAATTTGTTTTCTTAAATTATTTTTAGAAAACTAGTCTTTTAATTTTTTATTATTCATAATTTCTAAACTTTTATTCCTTAATTTTTTTAGTTATCAATAATTGATAAAAATATTTAATTTGGACGTAACACAATAAGATTGATGAAAAAAGCATTATACTTAATTTTTGCATAATGGAAAAGATTGGTAATTACAATTGAAACCAAGACAATTTTATAAAAGTTTATATATACTTCTAATTTACATGATTTTGGTTTTCACGAGTTTCTAGACGTAATGTTAGTCCTTTTTCTTTTTTCCTACAACATTATTTTTTCACCGTCATGCTATCATTGTTTGAGTCAGTTCAACTTTTTCAAACAAAATTTAGAACAAATATATAATTATGAATAGAACAAATAATTTATAAAATGTTATTATTCTGATAATCTCATATTTTATGAACGATTTCAAGGATTTAATAATAATTATTTTAATCAAATGTTTTTAAGGATGAAAATATATTTCTACTTAAAAAAAATTACCTGTCAATTGACAAATTTTGTAACAAAATCACAATTCATTAAAATATCTAGACTTCTAATGGTTTACGTGTATCAAAACAATAACTAAACTTAAGAGATAGGCGTTTACATAAAGACGAAGAAAATAATTGAAATAATGATCTAACTGTCTTCTTTTCCATTTACATCGTATTACCATAAGTTCATTAGTAAGAATCAAGTTTCTAAAGAGTATGAATTTTAAGCTGGAATGTATTTCCAGCACCCAATCCAAAAAATAAATTTTAAAAATGTTTTGATTGTGGATAGGACTAGAAGAGATAGTTATCAATCTGCTGATTATGTTTACCCAATTGACTCAATAAGGCATAAGACTCGGGATGGAAGTGTTGTTAATGAGTAATAATATAATCTGGAGGAGCATGTTGTAAATAAGAAATATCATGTTGTAGATGAACACTATAAAAACCCTCAAACATTAGATGGAGAATATGAAAAACCTCTAGAAGATGATAAGTATTTTCCAAAGGTCCTATAAATACTTCATTATTAACCAAAGGGCCTATAAATACTTCATTATTATCCAAATATGAGGATCACGTGGCAGTAGACTCTAAGAATGAATGATAAGTATCTTTCATGTCATATGAGGAAACACATAAATGTTAATGTTATAAAATTTAAAAACAATTACTTGTTTTTTATTGTATGATCAAGACCAGTTAAAATGTGTTTTCCACATTAAAAAAATGAATAAATTGGGAGTTCCATACCAACGAATCACGTCAGCCATTCAGCCATTCAGTTATTTGAGTTAGAAGTACTTGTGGGTGTTATAAGGAAATATTATCTACCTTAGTTGAGATATGACATAGTGAAACTAACAACTTCCATATACTTCCATCTACTCATAGGGACGATTTTGCAATAAAGATGAGACATTCTAGAGGTAGAGATGTTCGCCTTAATTGATTGCGAGAAATGTACGACGATGTTTGTGCACGGAGACGATGGAGAATTGTAGTTCAAGAATATTTAATGCGTTATATTATTTTTGCTGACAAAAGTATGACCTCCATTAATGTATCACATTTTAGTTTATTTTTGGAATATTCTTGTGAAATTGTTGCACTCACCCATATGTATGAAGATGCATCGTATATGTACGAGGATACATCATATGCTAATACAAAATAGTTAGTAGAATATCCAACTTTATTTCAAGCATAGTTTTATTAATGATTCCTAAATATAATCTTTCATCACGTCTCTAAAACCTATCATAGGGAAATACTCTTATGTCCACGCCTATTTAATTCAAAAAATCAATAAAAGTTCACTTCTTGTTCTTACATATTAAAGAAATCGAATAATAATATTATACTTTAAATAAAGTTATATATTTGGTCACATATCCAGTTAACAGTTTTATATTGACATACGATGCATCATCAAGCTGCTCATACATATGGGTGAATATGGTTACTCCCAATAATATTCACCACAAGTGGTAAGATATCAAAATAAACCAAAATATAATACACTAATCAAAGTTGCACTTTTGTTATCACAAATAGTGCAACCCACAAGTTGGTTCAAATATGTTTGAGCTGCAATTCTCCATCATATGTGTATAAACATCATTGTACACTCCTTGCAACCAACTACCTCTACAATATCTCGTCTATGCACAAGCAATTGCAAAATCAATTCCTAAAATCACTAGCAACACTTTTACAACTTTGTGTACTTCCAAGCAAATATAATAAAAAAATTGACTAATAATTGACAGGTGCAATAAAAAGGACATGTCATCTACTTTGATGGACATCTAACCTATGGTAGATGAAAACTGCTAGTTTCACTATGTCATCTCTTAATAATATTTTCTTAACTATTAGGTAAGTGAATTGCAGTAGCAATTCACGGGTATGGAACACCCAACTTATTCATTTTTCTGTCATGGGAAAAACACTTACTACTCCCTCCCACATACTATGGGCCACCTTATTTTCATATCTAGTTAATAATGAAATATCTATAGGCCCTCCTGAAAAAGATTAATTAGTTGTTAAAAGCTTTTCATGTTGCTCATTTACAAAATTCACCCCATTCGTACTCATTAACAACACTTAACGTCTTACATAGACAGTTGCAAAAAATATATTGCACAAAGGATTTCATCAAAATATGTTCAAATTTCTATCACTCATTTCTGGATTGGGTGTTCTGAAAATGTATTCTGGATTAGTTGTTCCAAAAGGAACACCTATTCTAAAATACATTTCTAAATCATCTAATGCAAAAATGTGTTATGGAAATACATTCCAAATTATTTGTTTTGGAACTCACTTTTGAATCTGGAAATGAGTTCAAGGAACAATTTAGATTTCTATATACACTTTCAGTTTAGTTTTAATGGACATTGAGCCGAGTATTCTGGAATACGTAGAAAACATTAACAATTTAAACCTTATGGGGTGAAAAGGATCTTCAATGGAGGCGGAATGACAGCAATACAACAACGCATAAATCATGGAGTACATAGGAGATATGAAGATGTAAGGAAGAAGCTTTTTAGGATTTCAAACAAAAGATAGTAAAAAGGTATTTTGGTAATTGTATATATGGGATGCTTGAAGAAATTATGGAATACTGGAAGAATGAGCCTTATTGAAAAGCTGATTATGTTCTTCGTGTGTCTTCATGTATTGATAAGATCACATTCCATGCTCTTTTCTGAAATGGTTGATGTTAATAGGATATAAAAACGTAATTCCCAAATAAAAAATTTAATTATCACACATTCAAACTACAATGAGAAAGACATAAAGAAGTACGAAATAATAAAATGAGTAATATAAAGGAGTGAGATTTAGAAAAGACATAAAATATTAAAAAAAAAAAATAGATGATATGAAACATTCGCAAGAGATAAGTTAATGCAAGAAATGATATTAATTACCAGACGTAATGACATCAACGATGAAACAAACTTGAGAGAGGAGCCATAGACAATATTCATCACATTCAAAGTATTGTCCAACCGGTAAGGTAACTCACGCAGACACTCCCACCATCTTCTCCTTCTTTGATGCGAACGAAGCATTTCAGACGAGAGTAACTTGCCATCACAGGCAATAGCAAAGTTCATGCCAATTAGTCAATTGAGGGTCTTGATTTGGGAGAAAAGAACCAATCTCAGAGGCGGAAAGGGTTGGACCCTCTGTCTTGGTTGATGTCAAAGAGGTTGAGATCAATAGCAGCATTAAAGATTGCAGGAACAACTCTGCTCAAACATAGTAGGGTTATTGTTGAGAGATAAGCATCATCATCATCACCATTTTGTTTTGAAATATTGTTGGAACCCATGATTCTTATTACCCTTTCTTTGGGTTCGCGTTTCTCTGTGACTCACTTCTTATTATATGCTTTGTTTGGTTTCTGAGTTTTGGTGTAGTTTAAAATGGGATAATGCCTTAGAAGCAAAATCACACAAAATGTCTCTTTGATACGATAAAAGAAGATATCTTAGATGGTTGTGGCCAAGATCCATTGGCTGCCTGAACAAGTTTCGAAATTAACAACCACTACCTTCCTTTCACCTCTTAAGCACAACAACATTGTCACATTACAACTCCAAAGAAGCCATTTCATCACGAAGGTGAAGAGCCCTAGCACTATCCCCCTTCTTCATGTAGCCATCAATCAACACCTCATACACGCTCACATCCAGAGCCACCAACCGCTGTTTCATCACGCTCAAATACCTCTCAGCATCTTCAACCTTCCCACAACGACACAAACACCGAATCACTGTCGCAAAAACCGAAAACCCAGGACTCACACGCCTGTACTCCATTTCATAATACAGCTTCAAAACCTCCTGAACCTCCCGCTTTCTAGCATACCCCTGCATCAAACGAGAATAAGTAACATCATCCGGCAAAAAACCTTTATCCAACAACACACTCAACATTTCATTCGCCTTCTCCACTTCCCCCTTCTCACACAGCCTCTCCACCACCTTATTAAACACCATACAACCAGGCACACACCCAACCCTCAACATCTCCTCAAAAACCCTCACACACTCCTCCGAATCCGCCGCAACAACAACGTGCTCAAACGTCTCACAGTACGGCCTCAACCCCTTCCCCTCCATTTCACGCATCAAACCAATAGCCTCCTCAACTCTCCCATCTCTGCAAAACGCTCCAACAAACGACGTGTAAACAAACGCGTTCGACTCAAACCCTCTTCTCACCATCTCCCTATATAACCCCCATGCGGAATCCAAATCCCCAAAAACAACCTTCGAATGCACAATCAGAGACCACACAACGGTCTCGTGAAGCAAATTCTTCTGCAAAAGCCTCTTCAACAAAACCACCACATCAGTCTCCGATTCCGCCACGCGTCCTCTCTCCAAAATCCTCAACATCAAACTACAATTCACGATCATAGAAGGAGAACGGAAAGTACTCCTCCGCATAATTCGATCCAGCGTGTCCACAATCTTCTGCAATTCACCCTCCTTGCACAACGCATCAACCATGATTCGCAAGCTCGTCAAATTAGGGTAAACCCTACTCCGAATCATGAACTCGTAAACCTCCCAAACGAAAAAACATTTCTCAGATCTCTGAACCGCGTGAAGCAAGGTATTAAAACTGACGACGGAGAGGGAAACGGAGACTCCATGCTCTTCCACGTAACGGCAAACGTCGAAGGCGATGTCCGTTAGCTTGGCTTTGGCGTAGGCTTGGACGAGAAGGTTTACGGCAAGAGCGCGAGAGGTTGAAACGACGACGTGGAGAAGAGAATCAACGAGTGCACGAACCGAAAGAGAGTCGGTGTTTGTTTTGGTGAGTGAGTGGAGAAGAGCACGGGCGTGGGCGACTAAGTTGGCTCTTAACAAGAGGTTGATGAGTATGGTGTAGGAGCGAGTGCTGTGTTGGAAGGTGGTGTTGGGCAGGGATGCGGCCCAATGGAAGAAGCCCAATGCGGCTTTTGCGTCGGAGGGGGAATTGAGTTGCAGAAGGAGGTGTTCAACCGAGACGTCGTTTAATTGAAGGGAACGGAACTCGCGGGTAATGGAGTCCCAGTTGCGTCGCTCTCTGAAGGAATTGCAAAGTGCCGCAACGACGCTGTCGTCGAGCTTTGGCTTTGAGAACGACGCCGTGTGTAGATGAGTGAATCTGGAGAAGAAGAAGAAGAGGTTGGAAGCCATTTGGGTTTTGGGGGGGTTTTGCCATGCCATGGTGCTGACAGTGGAGAGTGATCATGCTGGGCCACACTTGCAGCTCAACTCAACGTTGGATGGTCGTGCTTAGTATAACTTTTTGGTCCTTCGTTTCTTCAGTGAACAAACTCAGCCCAAAAATAATTTTAGTTGAATAATTGAAAAAAATTATCTTAAAAATAACGTTTTTAATGTTTCTTAATACCTGTGATAAGGTGTTGTTTTAGCATTTTTTTTTCAATAAAAAAATATATGAGTTTTTTTAATGTTTCTTATCACTTATGATATGGTTTATCTCTTGATTATGGTTACTAAACTTCTTCTTTTTTTTAGTTTTCGTCTTTCAATTTTTTTGTTCAAATTATACCTATCAATAATCATAGTTAATTAACGCATTTTCCATAACATTATTTTAATATAAACTCTATATATAAAATTATTTAAAACAAGTTAAAGTTGTTGAAATAAATAATTTTCTATTTTTTAAAAATAATTTTATACTTGACATTTACGTTAAAAATACTTTTTTATTTATAAAAATTATTTTAATTAATTCTCACTAAAAATGGTTTTAATATATGATATTATCATTACGGACTAATATATATATATATATATATATATATATATATATATATATACTAAAATTAAAAAAATTCCAAAACCATAAAAGGCAATTTATTTATGAATAAAAAATTAAATTATGCACATTTTAAAGTTTTTATTTATTTATTTATCATGTAACGAAATTCCTTTTAATTCATTGACTAAAGAATAATCCCACAAATACTGACGTGAACAGAGTTATCGCGTCAATCAACCTAGTAGAAAAATAAGTCGAATTAGTAAAAAAAAAAAAACTACTTGGTTCAGGATTACTCCTTTTCAATTATTTCATTAGATCAAACTTAATTTGAAACCTCTAATTATCACTAATATCCATTTCTCCTTTAAAAATTAGTTAAAAAAATCATTTTTAATACTAATGTAACTTTCCTTTTCTTTATTCTCATTCAACTATCATATAATCAATAACTCCCAGTTGATATACCTAAGCAAGTTTTTTAAAATGTGTTGTGTATTACTTTAGTCACCAGTATTACTTTGATCCTGAGTAAGTTACCTTTTATAAAGTATAAATTCTTTATAACTTTGAAATCTAAAAATATAAATTTGAATTAAAAACAATATATTTGAAATTATTTGAATTCGGATATAATTACAAATTAAATTTAAATATTTAGATTTTTTTTCCTGCCTCTAACACGTGTAACCTACCTAGGAGTTCTTTTTCCAAAAATTAATGGTAAACTTTCCAAACAAAATTACTTTTTATGATATTTTAGAAATAGTACTCCAGAATAGATTTTAAATAGTTAAAAATCAAATTCAAATAATAAAAATCAAATTCAAATAATATATTTTGAAATGCATTTCAAATTCTTCAGAATGTGTTTTCCAAAAAAATTCTAATAACATTTCTGGAAAGTATAAACATTTTAAAAAGTTAATTTTGGTCACTCCATTATTCCATTACAGTGGAAAGTGCAGGAAGCCTTAATACCTTTTTCACTACCCAAACTTTTAAGGGTTTCAGTGGTTAAAAGAATGTAAAAACGTTGAGAAGTACAGGGTAATTAACCAAAACCTTTTTTTTTATTGTGGCCAATATACTTGAAAATTTCATGAGTACCCATTTTTGGGGCTCAATCACAAAATGTGATATTCACGTCAGAGTCCAATGCAGCCTTGTTGCCTTAATTGGCGAATGGAACTCAGACAATGTCCAAAAGCATTGGAGATATTATGGACGAAAAATTCTGATAGCTTTTGTAACCTGAAGCCGGCAAAACGGACACCTTGACACTGCAGAAGAACATCTACGACACAATACATGACCACAAGGAACTATCGTTATATCAACCTCAGAACTCAGACAAACCCGACAAATCCATGCTGCTTTTGCTGTATCAGCTTCTTTTGTTGCCTTTTCAACCTTTTCCTGTACAATGTATAATGGTGAACCATGTCAGTTTAAACTTATCATAAAGATTAACACTACCAGATATATGCATTATAAAGCATCAAGGTAACTACTTCAATTCACTCATTACTCCCGTCCTACGCTATAAAAATAAAACTATCCTCCATTATGCAATATAGATACAATTTTCTTTTCTTCATTGATAGTATCAAATGGGTGCCCTTTCCCTTTAGGAACATCTCTGACTTAATCAATACACCTGTAGGAAAATTGTGGGCAGATAAGTTTAAGGAGGCATTTCGTAAGTGGACATCCAAATTTCCAACAAGAAACTTAGGTTTAAGATATCAAATTTTTCATGTTTGATGTGTTAAAACTAACAACTGGTTAGTATAGACATACCCAGATAAACTACAAACAGGTTTTCAAATGTTTGTGAAATTAGAATACTCACATGGCAAATTACTATTCAGAAAGAAAAATATTAATACTTTCTAAGGGTTACAGGGTAAAAAAGAAATGGAAGAGGGGTAAAACTTCAATTATTCTAGAAATATGACTTAGTGCATGGATTTGACAAATCCATACAGATTACAAGACAAAGGAAGAGCAAATAAATGAAGATTAATATGTTACCCCTACTCCTATTCATAACAGTATAACTCACGATACCAACTAAAAATTAAAATCACCCACCTGCTCCAAAACAAGAGCTGCTTGAGACTCCTTTAGATTTTCTTGCAAATTTATTGTTCTTTGAAGTAGCGCCTGCTTCTCCACGTCCATTTTGATCCCAGCAGCCGAGAGGATTTCATTTACAGCCTGGACGAGTTCTGCAGCTGAAACCTTGCCAGACTGCTCTCTCACAGGCTTTGCCTATTCACACAAAGATACTTCTCATTCACTTTAAGAAAATTGACATGCAATCTTTACCAAAATGTAATAACAGAATACTTATTTTAAGAGCGATAAAATAAATGGTAACAAGATATTCACAGTTAAAGGAAGATAGCATTGAGCAAAATAGCTAACAATTGAAAAGGGGATTATAAGCTTTCTAGATTCGGTGACCTTAGCTAAAATCTACACAGGAAAATTTTCTTAATTACAAGCTTTTTGCATCATCCCAACCTTAACAGCTCCAAAAATATTTCATTCTCATTTGGTGACACTTTATTCATGCACTAATGGAAAAAACACAGAATGATGAGTCACGAATTACAATGCCCGCAATAAATGCAAATCTATGGACATGATACTAATAATTAATAACAAGTTCCATGGGATAAACCTGAGAATAGCTTTCACTCCTTTCTGAGCTCTCCGCGAAATCAACACGGGTCATGTCACTTCCTAATAAAGGGCTATCATGCACCAGTGTTTCATTTAGAGGACTGCTTGCTGATACACTTTTAAATGAAAACACTTGTGATGAAAGGAAAAATTGCGTATCCCCAGGTGCCACTTCAATTTTAATTCTGTACAGACCTTGACCTGCAGATGGTCTTACATCTTCACAAACCCTCCCATATTTCAGCTTTTCACCATGTTGAGATCGCCAAGCTACTATTTCACCAGAATAAAAGGGCCTTAATGGATGGAACTGCACAAGACGTGCATCTTGTGCCAAAATTTCCTTCCCAACCATATTGCTGCTCCCATTTATGGGTTCAACTTCTTTCTTATCAGAGCAGAGTTTCAAAACATTAACAACTGCAATCTCAGATCCTTCAGGACAACCAAATAAGGACCCAATGGGCAATATGATTGGAGAGCCTAATACCTGACTGACTATAATAGCAATGAGATCAAAAAGGGAAATATAAGTTGGTGGCTCAGCAACTAGAATACAGGATCTCGATTGGTTCAAAAAATAAAGAGTTTGATGTGCAGAATCATTCTTCCACTCTGGGATGGTGAAATCTTTGCCTGCACGTGTAACATCTACTAAATTGGGCATTAGCAGAAATTTTGTTTTGAGACACTTTACAAATTGCATCATTTTTGCAGTAGAGTTCAATAAGCATTTTATTGTATCCAGTGAAAAACTATTGAATGCAGGAATGTAGCAGCTCATGCTCTTTACAATGGTCCAGACAGCAGTTTGAAGAGACTTGCTTGATAACTTCTGTTTGATGGTCACTAGTAAAACAGATCTAAGGGAATCCAAAGTCTGTAGTGCGTGATTCTCATCTAGTTCCTATAAACCCAAACAGAAAATCCAGTAAGTAAAATCATGATACAGACAAAACTTAGATAACAATAAATAGGGAGATGTATCTGTTTATCTTGCTACCTCTATGACAATGTCAGACAATTTTTTGATGCCAAGCGTAATACAGACTCTCTCAGGAAGATCTGCATGAACAAATCTAATTCTGGAAGTATCAATACATTTGACGTATCGAGAACCATAAGAATCAACATAGACACAGGATCCTGAATGAACAAGTCTGCAGCCATCATCAGGAACTATGGCTTCTGATGTCCAGTTTGACCCATCTAATGTGTTCCCCTCCACAATCTGATCACAAATGAAATTCAAAATTTCCATCACTGCACGCAGCTCATTGGGATTCAGTCGCTGATATCCACAAGATTTCTGAAGATGGAATAGAAGACCCTTTGCAGCAGAAAGTGTTAACATATCCTGAAGTCCCAAATCTTTAAGAATTTTTACAAATGGGAGATATACAGTAGGAAGCTCAAAAGCAAATGGAGACAAATTAATTATTAAACGAGCAAAAAGAGCATCGGCAGACACAAGGCGTGTTCCATTTGCAACAGGAAGAAAGGCCACTTTGCGTAGCTCTGCCACATCTGGAATAGCAAAAGTAATTAGAAATTTACTGAACCAACAACCTACGCAAATGTGCTTAATCAACACAACAGAGAATAATTGGAGGTCCACATAAATATGTTTAGCCAGTTTGTCCAGTCAAGTAATTGCGTTAATCTATTTGGTGCATTGACAGACCTATTGCTTTAAGTTAGGAAAATCAGAGACAAATACCAAAAATCTATAAGCCATATTTTCTACTCAACCCGTAGCACAAATGGAATAACATGAGAATAGTGAAGAACCTGAGGAAGAAAGTGAACCCCAAATTTTGTCTAAATATTTCAAAATCTCGCAGGTACATTCCTCAATGTTCATTCCTGAAGCAATGGGCCAATGAGCCAGAGTATCTTCCCCTCCATTTGTCCCAATTACCTAGGGAAAAACAAAGCTAGCATAAAATACATGTAGGTAAGTAATGTGATATAAAATGTAAACCAAATGTATCCTTTTTACTTGTAGGTGCTTCAAAACTGTACAGAAAGCAGGAGGACTTTGTAGATGCAGAGGTCCCCATGAGTACTCTGGAGGAACTGTGTGTTGTTTAGATAGAATGGGAGCACAACTCCAAGCTAGAGGCCAATCTTTAGACAAAATAGCTTCATTATATGAAGCAAGCACCCTCTTGCAACCAACACTAGGAAACCCCAGTTCAGCAGGGACACATGCAATCTTGCCAAGAAGATCACAGAAGTTGTTGCTAAAGAAAAGGGCAAAGTTGGAGAAAACAAACTCAACTACAGATCCTCCCAATGCCCACACCTCTGGTGAAACTTCAGAATTAGTGTGGATTAAGTCAGTCTCAAAATCATCCACATCACCTGATTTCATGCACTCAATTCCTAGAAACTCGACTCTTTTGGCACATTCAATTATTACCTCTACCTCTGTAGCAGTTCGAAGCCCAATTTTCCTTAGTATTCGAAGCCACCCATCTGTACTGAACCTCTCTCCAGGAAATTTTCTTCTCTCACCAAAGAATATAGATATTAAGATAGCATCACCAGGATCAAATAAATCCTTGGGCTTCAACAGATCTGTTGAAAACTCATCAGAATTTCTAACAAATTTAGTTTCTTTCAAAGCATCAACCACCACTTGATCTGATTGAAGATCGTGCCAATTTTTAAAAACATATATTAATATTCCCTCCTGCTCATTCTGAGATTTACCCTCAAAGCCAGGCAAGCCAAAGCGTACTAAGATCTGTTGATTATGCAACTCCTGTACTCCAAGTGCCCGAAGAAATGAACTTTCGTTTGAATCAGTGGCACAAGAAAGACAATGTTCATCATACGGTTTTAAAAATGATTTTGAAGGGATCATGCACTGATCTTGACCTTGCAACTTAGTATAAGAACCAACAACTGTTTTATATATTGGGAGAGAACGCAAAGCTTCAATTTCTTCGCGAGCATATTGAAAATCATTGGAGAAGAATTCATCAGAAAAAAGTGAAAAAAGTGCATCACAATTTGATGTTGAGAGATTAGTAGGTTCAGTGAAATATCCAGCTTGCTTAGCTGCCACAAGTTTGGATGCAATAACATGACCAAGTGATTGACCAGACATGGAAAAACAATTGCTTGAAGCAGCACAATCTATAAATGCCTCATCAAATATGGGTATGTTGCACTGGTTTAACATTGACAACAACCAGGGATAACTGGTTTTGAATCTTTCAAAAGCTGAAATGTAGGACTCAGCTAACTCAGTTTCAGAAGTATTATCCCCTGATACCCTAACCCCAGTCACATAACTTTCAGCAGATTCTCTTTCTGAAATCCCAATGGTTGCCGATGAGTGCTCCAAATGAGGAGGAATGAATACCAGATGTCGCTCTCTTACACGGCACAAGACTGGCCTACCAAGAAATGCAGGAATTAGGGGCCAATCAGAGAAAAGGGATAATTCCTCTGGTGAGCCGCTAAAACTTTTCCAAAAGATTCTAATCCATTCAGGGGAAGGACCCCCTTGACTGCCAGAACTAGGAAGTTTCTCCCAAGAAAGCCATGGAGCCATATTTGATCCCATTACATGTCTCACCCAATCTTCGTGGAAAATTAGTTTCATATGATTGGCCAGTAGATTAAGAGAGAAATTCTGCAGTTTCAATAGTGATTGAAGGGAAACATTAGAAAAAATGCCACCTAAGAGAGGCCTGTCTATTATTTTAGGGTGAATAAATTTTTCTCCCAACGGAACCATTAATGACTGTTGCTCTTTATTCCCAATCCAAAGTTCAGTAAAACCCAATTTTTTTAAATGGCTAGTTGCAGTTGGAAATGGTAAGCCTTTGAGTTCTGCAGCAATTAATATGAACTTCTGGTCCCTATTTTGATCAATGAAAGTCATGTTATTATTGTAAGCCCCAGGTGCTCCTGATCTACCAATATCTTCAACAACACCCCGACCAAAATCAAATAGAGCCTTCCCTAAACTTGTCATCATTTCCAATGCATCTCCTGAACTGGCTTCTCCCCGAGTAGGCTTGCCAGTGAACCTGTTGATATTATTCCCCAGCTGAGAAGAAGTGATTCTGATATCAGTTTCCTGACAAAAATCATTGGTACTAGCAGGATCATTATCTCTGGGTGAGCTGGATGACTCTGCATGCTGAAAATCAGACAAGCAATATTCGAGAACATCTATATACATGTCAACTGACCGCAGCTCAATTGGTTTTGAAGAAAATTTTAGGAGATCCCTAACCATTTTAGGTTTAATTTCTCGCACTGAAAATCCCACAGCTTGGATTTCAGTCACCAATTCCCATGGCACTGAAAATACAGGATAATGCTTCTTTACAAAGCTGCAAACTGTAGCTGGAAGTAAATTACCAATTAGCCCATTCCCTGGCTGGGAAAGAAACATGCCTTCTTCAGCCTTGACCAAATTTCCGGAGTACAGCTGCCATACTGGAAGGTCAATAATACGAGAATAAAATGGATGTATAACACGATCTTTAAGACATTCCCAGTCAGCTTTAAGAACAATTACTGTTGGACTTGGAGGGTTGTTGTCATGATTACCATGTTGATCACTCGGTACATGCTTCTCACAAGAAAGTGGCCAAAAGGAGTATATTTGATCTCCATAAGCCTTCAATGAGACACTGATTGCAGAATAGGCACTAGAATCAAATAAGGTGCTTGGAATATCTCTTCTTAGCTTTTGAATCTCCAAAACCATTTCAACATAGGAATCACATACACAAGACATGACCTCTCTGTTCCAAGATTCAATTAATTGATTTCCGACATCAAAGTGTCCCTCAGAAGAAGCCCCTCTGTCTTGGTATTTAAAGAGATAACGACCCCTATTGTGACACACGAGGAAGCAACCTATGATAGTGACAGGCATGTCTATACAACCAGACAAAGGAAGAGGGGCCATTATTGAGCTCCTTGAGTACAAATTGGCATGATGGCCATTTCTGGATATAAGTGCTGCTATTCCAGCAACAGGAGTCAAGTTGTATGCAAGATACCGCCTGACCAGAAAAAAAATGGAATTTGATATATTTGACCAAACAAATTAGTTCAGATAACATAATTTTCATGAGATAAACATAATATGGAACATAAAACTTCAATCATCCTTGCTCTAAATGGAGTTTCAAGATAAATTAAGACTTGTTTACCATCTTTCCAACTCTAATTGGAAAGGAAAAAGAATAAAGAATGAAAAAGCTGAAGTATGAACCCTTCCTTAAGATCAAGACAAAGAAGCAATGTCCAAATCCAAGGAATTTTCTAAGAAATAAACAAACTATGGAAAATACCTTCCACATTCATAAACTTCTCACTATTTTCTTATTAATGGCTATTTTATATTTTAGAGAGAGAAAGTGCTAGATGCATACACAAACTGAGCCATCGATAAGTGAAAAGGTTTTCAAGTGAACAAAAGGAAAACAACAACCAGGTTATTGCAAAACATTGAAACAATGACATTGTGCTCTGTTAAAACCAAGTTATTGCATGACAATATGAGATTTTGACATCCATGCAATTTGAGCATAATTACAATAAGATATCCACTATAATCTTCACAAAAAATCATACCGATCAAGAGCCATATTTCTTGTTTGCCCAGAACCCAGGCTGAGTACAACAAGCCATCGATCAATGACTGTAGTTCCTTCTGAATATAAATTCACATCAATTGCATGCATCTTTATCATCGCATTGGAGCTGCTAAATATTCTTGATAATTGAAACTTTCTCCATTTCTTTTCAGAAAATGGATTCCTCAAAATAGAAGATGATGGGTCAATGCTTATTGAAAAATTCTGGCTTGGATTAGAACGTCCTTCTTCCCATGTTGATATGGATACCTAGAAGGAATGACGATTTCACTTTGCCTCAATAGATTATAAAAATGTTCCAGATAAGAGTTCTTTCATGTTGTGTCAACTTCAAAACATTTTACGCATACAAGTGGTTTCTATGAACAATTTTCTATTAATACTAGATGATAGAGCGAGTAAAATAACAGACATAAGCTATCCTGGTATATACATAGACACATGCGCAATCCCTAACTATTTCTGCCCTAAAAAAATAGTCCTTGATCAGATCTATAGTTCAACAGTTAATTGGCCTTGTAATTAGTACTTGAAGACTTAGAGTAATAGAATTTAGAGAATTAGATAGTGAGAAAACTGAACAATGGATAAGCTGGACTCTAAATGTTTCATTAGAAGAAATGTACACGTTATATATCCAAATTGTACGACTCATTGCCGATTCAGCAGATAGCAAACTAAATGATAGATATCTAACTCTATGACAGAAAAAAAAAAAATCTAAAGGAATTAATAGTGAAATGCAAATGTAATGTAAAAGCACGTTATACATAAAGTGACTCAAATATATGGTATGAATAAAATACTGTTGAGCACAATAAACATATTTCTCTAAACTATCAGATACAACAGGCCCCAGGTCTGACTAGTCATAAATAAGTTGTTTAGCCAGTTATAAAAAGATGCCTTAAGTTTTTCCTCTTTTCATCTTCGACTCTAATTTTCTAAGTTTCATCAAAAACCATTTCCCAGCAAAAAGCATTAGATTTTCACCACATCAAGTCCCCAGCATTCATTCTTGAATTTGTCACAACCTAATCTAGCATGCATGACTGACATCCCATGAACCTCAACTCAATCAAATACCTACAAACCAACCTTTGACCCACATCCCATGTGAACATTCAATTCTCCAAGTTCTATTCCAAAATCCCAAAGAAAAGCTAATTTCAACTTGTTAATTTCCATTGTTTTCTGCCATGCTGCATGATGAATCTACAACTGAACAGTGATAAATTTACCTGTAAAACCGACTTCAAAAACAGGAGTGCTCTAGATCCATGCTCCATAAATATTTCCATAATATGCTTTATGCTGTTTGATCCAAGGTCAGGTCCAACCTTCAAACAATCAGATGATATAGGCATGCGAATAATGGTAGAATCAGCTAATAACCATAAGTCATTTCGATCAATGAGCATTGGACTAAATTGATCACAAAATCGTTGAGTCAGATCAGTACCTGAAACCACAAGAGTAAACAACTTTATATTCTGCATTTGTATAGGAATTTTACTATCAGGTTTAAAAAATTCAAATTAAATAAATTAAATAAAAGAAAAGTTAAGCAGTTTTATTTTATAAAACAAATATTCCATAGAAGGAAAAAGTACAAAAAGCAACACTATGAAAATACATATTAAAATAAGATTAAATATAGGATATCAATATTATAGCATATCTAATAAGGGAACCTCTCATAAGCAACCATTAACTAACCACTGTTAGAAGAAATAAGGAATATTACTCAAAAGATAAATTCTTGAACGTTCTTTTTAAATTTAGAAACAATTAACCATTCAATCATTACCCATGTCAATAAACAGTTATTCACTAACCAATGTTTGAACATTATTAACAATAGAGTGATTAATTAATTTCGAAACCAAAAATAATTTACAAACAATTTTTTTTCATCTTCCATATATTTGCAAGAAAACAACGTATAAATTTGAGGGCTTCAATGAATTTTTGACAGAAGGGTAAAGAGTATGGAAAATATTTCAATGCATTATTATCATTACTCTTGCACTCTTTATTTTTTCTGATTTGGCTCTGTTAATGGGATAATATTTACTAAATTTACATGTTTTAACATCTCACTATAAAAGTACACAACAAAATGTTGATTCTTCACAAATTTTGACAATGTAAAGTATGTCTGCTAGGGATCAACCCACAGTACTCACAGTACACTGACATAAAGTTATCAGTAGTAGTAAAGTAAAAAATAGTAAATGGGACTGAAATAGAAAAAGTTAGAAAATGTTTATTTATTTTGCATTATCTCAGATGATCAATACACAGTATACCTGTCAAAGAAAACATCTTTGCTGATGGGGCATTAGTCAAAGGTGTACCAAGTACCAAACCACGAGGATCAAACATATAAAAGAAGCCACCAGAAATGATTGAGAGAAGGTCACATATGGAATAGCAGGAAACCAATCCCAAACCATAGTTAATTGTGTTGCCACGCAATCGCCATGGAGGACGGAGCTGGAAATTACTAAATTCCTCTCGACTCAAACAGGCACCTTCAAAGATTGCTAGAAGGGAAGGCCCTTGGAATTCACCTGTATAAAGAAATCATGCCATGTTAACAAGTTTAAAAAGTAACCCAAAACAGCTAAACACAGCATAAACGTTGAAATGCCCCTAGCTGCAGTCTAACTTTGGGTATTCCATAAGTTAAACTAGCAATACTGGCATCCAATGATGTTCAAAAACTGTTGTACGAAAACAAGTTACAAGTCCCTGCGCACAAAGCTCCAAGACAATTATGGATTATAGGTGTGAGAAATTGTGTAGGCAGTAAATACTAATTATGGAATTATTTGACTTGATTTAGAAAGAAATAGTACATGGGTATTTAAAGGAAAACATAATCCTAATAAAAGGAAATAAATCTCCTGGAATGAAGATTATAAATCAGGAATAAATCTACCAAATAAACTCCTAATCCAAATCCCTTAATTTTAAGGATTTTATTCAAGTAAATCTATATTTATTATACAATAAATGTAAAATATTTACACCCATATATCAACATCCCCTCTCAAGCCGAGGAATGAATATCCTCCATTCCCAGCTTGCTTATGAGATTGTGTAAGTCTGAGGTATTGAGCCCTTTTGTCAGCACATCAGCCACTTGTTGTTTGGATGGAACATACGACATGCATACTAGACTTTCTTCTAATTTTTCCTTAATGAAATGTCTATCTATTTCAATATGTTTGGTCTAGTCATGTATAATGAAATTATTTATAATGTCTATTGCTGACTTATTATCACAGTAAAGCTTCATGGGTCCTTCCAAATTGACCTTGAAGCCATTTAAGATAATTTTAAGCCATAATAACTCACAAAGCCCTTGTGCAATGGACCTGAGTTCTGACTTAACCGATGATCTTGCACCACATTTTGTTTTTTTTTTCTCCATATCACTAAGTTCCCACCTAGGAAAGCACAATATCCAATTGTTGATCTTCTATCAATAAGAAAACCTATATAATCTGCATCAGTGTAGGCTTCAAGATTCAATCTTCCATTACTTTTTAATATTATTCCCTTCTTATAAGTAATGTAGAATCCTATAAGCAACTTGAAGATGAGATTCCTTTGGTTCATGCATAAACTGGCAGATGACAATCACTGAATGAGCAATGTTTGGCCTTGTGTAAGCACGATATATTGATTTTCCAACCAGTCTCTGATACATCTTTCTATCAACTATTGGTTCCTCTTTAACCTTACATAACATATGATTAGGATCCATTGGAGTTTATACTGGTTTGCACCCAATTCTTCTAGTTTCTACTAGCAAATCAGTTATATATTTTTGCTGAGATATGAAAATTCCTTGGTTAGAGTAGGCTACTTCAATCCCTAAAAAATACTTCAATCTTCCAAGCTCTTTTAGCTCAAATTCCTAGACTAGTTTATGTTTCAACTTTTCCTTCTCTTTTTCATCATTTCCAATTACTATAATATCATCAACATAAACTAAAAGGACTGTTACCCCTCTTTCCCTATATGTTTAATAAATAAAGTGTGATCTCCTAGACTTTGTTTGCAGCAAATCCCTTCGTAGCTTTTGTGAATCTTCCAAACCAAGCTCTAGGGGATTGTTTAAGTCCATAAAGAGCCTTACGCAGTTTGGACACCTTATTTTTCCTGTTTCCTTCAAAACCGGGTGGAATATTCTGGTAGATTTCTTCTTCTAGATCTTCATGAAGAAAGACATTTTTAACATCATAATGTAGAAGTTTCCAATCAAAGTGGGAAGCTCAAGACAAAAAAATCCTTCCAGTATTCATTTTTGCAATAGGTGCAAAAGTCTCCTGATAGTCTATTACATAACCTTGAGTGTATCCCTTGGCAACCAACCTCGCTTTGTATCTTTCAAGAGACCCATCAGCCTTATATTTTATTGTGAATATCCATTTATAGTCGACAATATTCTTTTCTTTGGGTTTGTCAACAATTTCCCAAGTACTACTTTTTCTAATGCATCCATCTCCACTTTCATGGCATCTCTCCATTCTTTCCTTGTCAAAGTTTCAATAACCGTGTTAGGGACAACAGAATTCAAACTAACAATGAACTTTTTATGGTTAGTTGATAATCTGTCCAGACAAACATAGTTTGATAGAGGATAAAGACGTTGTTTTACACAGTTTCTAATATCTTTTCTGATGGCTATTGGCAGATCAAGGTCACTAGGAGAGTCAGAATTCAGATTTTTTGGTTGATTTGTCTGCAGTTTCAGGTTCAGAACTTGGATTGGATTCATAGACTTGTCCTTTTTCTGGAATGCTCTTCCTTCTTGTGTAGACTTTGTTGAATCTTGAAAAATTGTGGGTAGTAACTCTTGAGGCTGAATCTTTGATAGTTTCAGTATTTTCTAGTTGCAGTTTAGTGGGATCAGTAACATTCTCAGTTTCAACTTCTAATTCTACCCCATAATTAATTTGCTTACGTGCAGGTTCAGTTGGAGCATATGACAAAACAAAGGGGTCAAATTGATCATCACAATTTTCTGAAAAATTTTCTTGGGAACCAGCATTGGAAAAAAAAATTAACTTTAGTGAAGGTGACATCAATGGAGATATAGAATTTTTTAGATGAAGGGTCATAAAATTTGCAACCGTTTTGAGTTGTTGAATAATCAAGAAAGACACATCTAACAGCCCAGGGATCAAATTTGTCTCTATTTTGGTTGTGGATATGTACAAAAGTTGTGCACCCAAATATTCTAGGAATGAAACCATTTGCAACCTTAAAGTGAGGAAAAAAAAAATTATTTAAAGTTTCAATTGGTCTTTTGTTTTCTAGGATATGTGTGGGAAGTCTATTTATCATATATGTAGCGGGAGAACAACTTCTCCCTAATAATTTATTGGAACTTTTCCTTGAAAGAGAAGTGCTCAGGTGGTGTTAAGCAAGTGCCTATATTTCCTCTCTACCACTCCATTCTGTTGGGGAGTATAGATGCATGATGAGTCATGAATGATCCCTTTGGATTGAAAATAGGTAGACACAGTTTGGTTGAAATAATCCCTAGCATTGTTAGACCTAAATCTTTTTATGTTGACCCCAAATTGATTTTGAATCATCGAATGAAAAATGGGAATAATAGTACTCACGTCAGATTTTTGTTTAAATAAATAGAGTCAAGTAACTCTAACACAATCATCAATAAAGGTTACAAACTAACCAGCCCATACAAGGTATGGTAGATAGTCACCATATATCACTATGGCTTAATTGGAAAGGTTATGAACTTGTATTATTGGTAATGGGAAAAGATACACAAGTGCGTTTAACTAATTCACCAGCCTCACAATGTAGTTTTGAGGTATCAAGATTTTCAAATAAATGGGGAAACATAATTTTTAAAACAGAAAATGATGGATGTCCTAACCTACAGTGGTACAACCAAAGAGTGTTTTTATTTGTTATACTGAGTAGTGACATAGGTTGGTCAATGTTGGATTCCTAAGATGGTTCAAGGTAGTAAAGTCTAGGAAAACCTAGAGCTCTGATACCATGTGAGAAATTGTGTAGGCAGTAAATAATAATTATGGAATTATTAGACCTGATTCAGAAAAAATAGAACATGGGTATTTAAAGGAAAACATAATCCTAATCATGGTTATCAAACTCGCGGATTGACTCGTACACCCGTACAAGTTAGCGAGTCACGTTACTATTTACGGGTTAACTCGTGTATAAACTCGTTTTTTTTTTTTACTCGGAGTAAACTCGCTGACACAGAATAGACTCGCGAGTTTGAGAGCAAGTCACCGAGTCCATAGAGAGGGACAAAACGACAAGCGAAAATGTCGTTAGCATTTTGATTTTAAACCCAAACCAAAGCCCGAACCACCCAAACCAAAAACCTAAACAAAATTAGAGATTGAAACCCAAATCAAAAACCCTAATCAAAGAAGAAGAGAAGATCAAACAAGAAAACCCAGATCTGACCTCTGAATTCGCATTTCGTCGTCGTCCCGCAGCTCTAGTGTTGTTGCGTTGCAACTCTGGTCGCGTCGTCGCCCCGCAGCTCAGCCCCCCGCAACTCTGGTTCCGTCGCATCGCGTCACGTTGTCGCCCCACAACTCAGTGGCGTCGCAACTCCGGTCGCCTCGCATTGAAACTCCGATCGTCTCGCGCCGCAGCTCCGTCAAGTTTGGTTCGTGCGTTGGTGTGTAAGTGAGGGTGCGTTGTTTCTCTAATACTGCGTTGCTGAATATTTTTTAAAATTTTATTTGTTTATTTCTTTATTCATTGAATAGTTAGTATAAGTCAAAAATCTAGTTGGTAGAATTTTTTTATTTTTTTATTCATTGAATAGTTAGTATTTATAGAATTTATTCTCTGTTTTATTTATTGAATTTATTCTTTGTTGCATATTTTATCTTTTATTTTAGTCGTCTTTTATAGTTGTTCTAAAAAAATAAATTATTTTATTTTTAGTTGATTGAGACTTGTTTGCAATGTCTGGAAGTGGGATTGCTTCAAATTCTTGTGATTCCAATGTTAATGTATCTTCACCACTATCTAGACCTCCTAGACCTAGAAGTAAAAATGCTTTAGAAAATCGGACCGACATTGGATGGAAACACGGAATAGATGTTTCAGGTAATGGAAAAAAAGGTTAAACGTAATTATTGCTCAAAAATATTCAATGGAGGAATTTTCAGATTCAAACATCATCTTGTCGGTACTAGATATGCTTCTGAACCCTGTGCCTCAATTCTAGAAGAAGTGAAAGTTGTAATGATGAAAGTTGTGGTAGAGGCTAAAGATGTTTCAGAAAAGAAAAGGAGACAAAATAGAATTGATGAGTATGATGATGAGCACATTCAAGAGGTGGATATCACTCAAAGTAGTAGTAGTAGTAGTATGATGTTCAAAAATAAAGGAAAGGACAAATTCACTCAAGGTGTTCAATCTACTTTAAATCAACTGTATAAGAAAGGGGATAAAGAAAAAGTTGATGCTCAAGTGGCGGAATTTTTTTACACACGTGTCATTCCATTCAATGTTATTAGATTTCCTTCTTTTGCAAAAATGTGTGAGATGATTGGAAGATATGGAGTTGGCTACAAACCCCCCATCATATCATGATATTAGAGAAAAACTTTTGAAACAAGCAGTGCAAAAAACCGATGTAATCCTTGAAGAATATAAGGAGGAGTGGAAAAATACAGGTTGCACAATCATGTCTGATGGGTGGACTGACAAAAAAAGACGTTCTATTTGTAACTTTCTAGTCAATAGTCCTAAAGGGACTGTGTTTCTTTACTCATTGGATACATCAGATATCTCAAAAACTGCAGATAAAGTGTTTAAAATGTTGGATGATGTAGTGGAATTTGTTGGAGAGGGGAATGTGGTTCAAGTGGTTACCGATAATGCTGCAAATTTCAAGGCAGCTGGAGAGTTATTGATGCAAAAACGAGAGCATTTGTATTGGACCCCATGTGCTGCCCATTGCATTGATTTAATCTTTGAAGATTTTGAAAAACATTTGAAGGTCCATCAAACTACTATCAAGAAGGGAAGAAAAATCACTACCTACATTTATGGTAGAGCAATGCTAATTAGCATGTTAAAGAAGTTTACCAAAGGTAGAGACTTGATAAGGCCAGGTATGACTAGATTTGCCACATCTTATCTAACTCTTGCATGTCTTCATGAATTGAAAGCATCATTGATGAGCTTCTTTAGCTCTGATGAGTGGAAATCAAGCAAATTTAGAACTTCAATAGAAGGGAGAAAAATTGAGCATGTGGTATTAGATAGTCAGTTCCGGAAGAATGTAACCACTTGTCTCAAAGTTGCTGCCCCTTTGATGGTGGTCCTTCAATTAGTGGATTCAGAATAAAACCCGCAATGGGTTTCATTTATGAAGAAACGGATTCTGCCAAAGAGAAGATCAAATTTAACTTTAATAATATTAAGAAAAGGTAAAATTTATAAACCTTCTCTCTTTCAGATTTTCATTCTTTATTTTGTGAAATTATTTCTAACATTGCATGATTGCATCATTGTAGTTATGAACCTGTTTGGAACATAATTGATGAGAGGTGGAATAATCAGCTTCATAGACCTTTGCATGCGGCTGCATATTACCTTAACCCTCACATGCACTATGAACCTAATTTTAGAAATGATGATGTGGAGGTAAAAGAAGGGTTGTATGAATGCATGAAAAGATTGGTCAAGGATGTTGCAGAAAGGAAAAAAATTAATTTACAACTTCTAGAGTTTCATTTTGCAAAAGGACTTTTCTCAATGGAAAATGCAAAAGATTGTAGGAAAGTTATGCTTTCTGGAGAATGATGGGAGATGTTTGGAGATGGAACTCCAGAGTTGAAGCGATTTTCTATTCGAGTTTTGAACTTAACTTGTAGCTCTTCTGGGTGTGAGCGTAATTGGAGCTCATTTGAAATGGTAAGTCAAATTTGATAAGTTATTATTTGTTTTTAATTTTTTGTATTTAAGCATTCATATTTATGTATAGGTTCACACAAACAGAAGAAACCGTTTGCACCAGAAAAAGATGAATGACTTGGTTTATGTCATGTACAACTTGAAGCTCAAAAATAAACAAAATAGGAAAACAGTTGCTCTCCCATTTGATGATATTGAGTCTGATGATGAATGGATAACAGAAGATGGTGATAATGTTGGGATTGAGTCAGTTCAAGGTGAAGGTGATGAGGAAAATGTTGACATAGCTGAACTAAGTTCAGTTGATCCTACTTTAGAGCCAATTGATCTTTATAATATAGAGTTTGATGCCAATGTTGATGATGCACTCTTATCGCCCGAGGAAGAGGTTGATGGTGATGGAGAAGATGATGATGAAGATGAAAAAGATGATGATGTTGGAGATGATATAATTAGAGGATTGGAGCTAGAAAGTTGAAGTTATTTATGTTTTGGTGATTTGTATTAACTTATGTATTTGCTGTAATTTGAACTTATATAACAATCATGTGTGTTGAACCAAGTTATTTTAGAATTATTGAACTATTGTTGTTTATTTTCATTAATTGTGATGATGAAATTCTGAATTTGTATTATTATATAGAATTTTTCATATGAAATAGACTCTTACGAGTCGGGTTTATGAGTCGAGTCTACGAAGCTTTCACGAGTCAACATAGACTCGACTCTCGAGTCTGATAACCTTGATCCTAATAAAAGGAAATAAATATCCTAGAATAAAGATTATAAATCAGGAGCAAATCTATCAAATAAACTCCTAATCCAAATCCCTTAATTTTAGGGATTTCATTCAAGTAAATCTATATTTATTATACAATAAGTGTACAATATTTACACCCATATTTCGACAATAGGTATAGTCAGTGTAAGCAGTTTCTAACTATCTGACCTACTGTCTAGGGAAGTTGTTTCTAGGACTAGAACTTGTTGCCACAATGTCACAAGCAGCAACCTAACTCCTGGATGAAAAAGTAAAATTTACACCTAATACTCTAGAAGAACATCCAAACACGATACCTCAACTGAATCATATCCTTCTATTCAATGGAAGTCTTTGGTAGCCACCCTCAATAAATTGGTCTAGCACTGCCTTGGCTCCTGCATGTAGGACCCAATGAGACTCAATACCCAACATGGATTAGGCAGGTCATCATGGTCAATCCACCAGTCCAACACAACACAGCTGTAGCCAATATCCACAATCTTGGTGGGCCCAGTATGATTAAAAAAATTAACACTACCCACCTTGCAACTAGAAGAATATGATATACTCTAAAAGAATTCAGAACAAAAGGAAAAGTACTAGTATCCTCAAAATAATAAAAACTCTACAATTATTCTTAACACATTTATTCTCAGCTCTACCCATCCACATTCAAAGAGGAAGAAGAAGTGCACGAATTAAATTATCAACCATTCAGAAATATAATCTGGTCCTTAAAAGCACCATCAGCATCCAATCACAGCACAACAGCTAAGATGGCATATCACAAAATCTTCCATTTATTAATCTTATATTATTGGGGGAAATGCTTAAAACCAAAAATCAAATAAGCATTCTAAAAAAAAGGTTTATATAAGAAATAACACAAGCTTCTCAAATGCTTAGCATAACTAAACAAAATTACAAGAAGCATCAACCATAATAATAACAGGTTGTAGAGCTAACCAAGTTAGGATTGAAAGCTGTATAGTATTGCAATATCATTCTTTCCTTTTCATTCAAATAAAAATTAATAACAAGTTTCTGTTGAAACAAATGGCTATGCAGTTACCTTAACATAAATATACAATTTTCTAAGAAAATAAAGAAAAGTTACCTAAATTGTGCTGCAGCAGGGATTGGCGAGGATGTTCCCTCTTATCATAGATCAGGTGTAATCTCTTGGCTTGGCAGCAATCTGCCAACTCAAGAAGGTCAAACAACAAAAACTCATGGTTTCCATACAGCGCCAAAAGTTCATTTACTTTATTGAAGTCCATGCAGGGCAGATCTTTAGTCAAATCATCACTGATTAAAGAAAGGCACCGAACTGACTGTACACCAAGCTTGTCTGCCAAATCGTTGCCTATAACTGGATGCACAAAATGTCTCCCAATAAGAGAGCTGTTTTCCAGCCAAGGTGCATCATTATATACAAGATCTCCTGCTTGCATCAGAACTCCAAAATCATTAGGAATCAACAAGGAACTATCAAAAGGCTCAAAAAGTGGCTTCTCCAAGCAACATTCTGCTATGGCTTCAAGGACACGATGGACAAAATTTAACTGATCAATAGACAGAGGAACCCCATGCACATCATTCTGCAACCTTTGCAATACTTGAATATAGTCTGAAATACCAAAACTCAATCTAACTCCCAACTTTATCAACAAATCTTTATACTCTGATAGTTCAGATGGAACAACATACAAATAAGGCGTAAATTTTACTGGTGAATCAAATGCAAGTGCATTTGGTGATACAAAATCATCACCAATCCAAACCCATGAAGCACCATCTAAACCTGCTTTCAGGTTACTAATATCATCAGTATTAATATATTCCTGCAATTTTGAGTAAAGGCAAGGTATCTCCTTTTGCAACTGAGCATCAAAACCAGGATCCAGCAGTGAATTTATCTTAAGTTGCTGATAGGACTTAGATAACTCAATTAACTGTCTTGTTAAAACACTGACATTAGGGCAACCCATCCACCCGAGTTCATTTTGTAGATATGTAGTGTTACATTCACCATCTAAAATGAACATTGAGGAAGATACCATCCACATCTGTGATTTAGGCCTCACTCTAGTGGGGGGTGCTACTACTTGGTTTTTGGATTTTAACCATGGAAGTCCCGTCACAACTGGATCAGAAATTACTGGACACCAAGAGATTAGCTTCAATTCAGACCAAAATTCTTCTTCTACCATATCACATGTTGAGCTGCTTAAAACTGAATCAATATTAGTTAGGCAGGTCTCATCTTTAGGAAAGCCATCATATACAAAAGCATCACCCTGCATGCTACTACTTCCCAGAGCCACACCACCCTGTTGATCATCATTATCACATTCTCCTTTATTTGCGAGCTTACATGCTAATGTATCTAAAAGGCTCAGTAACTCTCCACCATGTTTGAAGGCATCAATGTCCCTAGAATCATGCAAGAGGCTGACTGATCTAGCACAATCAAGCAAGCCAGTAAATCCCAGAGTTGTCCTAAGTCCAAGGCAAACTAAAGTATCCAAAATTTCAGGATCTAAGAATTTTTCAGAAGGAAAGAAAAAATTCCCATGAAGCAGCTTTTTAAGGTGAGGAACCCGAGGATCATAAAGCCTGCAATAACATTCTAGTCAGCCATCCAAATGTCAGTTTTTAACCAAGTAAAAACTTAATCAAGAAACTTAACCTTTCAAGGATAAAACATCAGTACAAGAAAGCTGCACCTGAAAAATTCATTGTGTTTATTTACATTAATTGCTTGGAATAATTTACAAATGCTCTTATGTCTAATTGTAGTACAATTTTATCAAGTATTATCAGGTAATATTTTTGCACTTGGTCAAACTCAACTTAACTTGATTGCAAAAATATATCCATGTTCAATCAAATGAAATTTGTTAGGTAAACATTAAATGCATGTAGTTGAGAGACCATATCCAAAGGCCTATAAATTGACCATGTACCACTCATTGCAAATACATCAAGTGATAATATACAGAGTGCTTTATTTAGATACTTGTTTGTCAACAAATTGGCATCAGAGCTTGAGAGTCTGAGTGTCTGAATGCGTTAGAGAGAGTGTTTGAGAGTTAGAGTTTGTTCGAGATGACCAACTTAGCTAACAGCATGCCCTTGCCAAAGTTATCAAAAGGCGTAAGCTATGATAACTGGAGCCTACAAATGAAGGCTCTCCTTGGTTCCCAAGAAGTATGAGATGTGGTTGAAAATGGACACCAAGAACTAGAGAATATTGAAGAGCAGACGATTGCCCAGCTTGCTGCATTGAGAGCAACACGAGTAAAGGACAAAACGGCTTTGTACGTGTTGTACCGAGCTGTTGATGAGTCCGGCTTTGAGAAGATAGCAAATGTTAAATCTTCAAAAGAAGCGTGGGATATTCTGGAGAAGGCATATAAAAGGGATAACCGCATGAAGCAAATCAGGCTTCAAACTCTTAGAGGCGAGCTTGAAAGCATGAGGATGAAAGAGGTCGAAGGGGTTGTCGAGTACATCTCCCGTGTTGAGACCGTGGTGAATCAACTCGGAAGAAATGGAGAGACGCTGCCCACTTGCCGAGTGGTGGAGAAAATCTTAAGGTCGTTAACTGATGACTTTGAGAATATCGTTTGTGCAATAGAAGAGTCCAAGGACTTGTCGGTGCTCTCGGTGGAAGAGCTTGTCGGGTCGCTTGAAGCGCATGAGCAGCGGAGAAGGAAGAAAAAAGAGGAGTCCCTTGATCAAGCACTCCAAGCAAAGGCAACCTTAAAGGAGAAGATGGTTCCTTATGCTCAGAACACTCAAGGCCGAGGTGGTAGAGGCAGAGGAGAATATGAAAGAGGCAAGGAGCAAGTCAGTCAACAAAACTGGCGTGGCCGAAGACAAGGTAGAGGTCGTGATGGTAGAGACCGAGGTGGTCAGTCAAGCAATTCCGGAGTTGAGTGCTTCAAATGTGGAAAGTACGGTCATTTTGCTAAGGACTGCTATTCAGGTATCAAATGTTATAATTGTGGGAAGGTTGGACATTTCGCGAAGGACTGTCGATCTGAGAGGAAGAAGGAGACAAACCTCCTCTCTGAGGACACTGAGGAAGAAGGAGTATTGATGATGTCGAGAAGTTCGGATGTCGAGCTAAGTCTGAGCTGTTCTGACAACTCGGTTTGGTATCTTGATACAGGAGCAAGTAACCACATGTGCGGGGACGAGAACCTTTTTAAGGAGCTCAATAAAGTTGAGGCCGGACACGTGTCATTTGGAGATGCATCAAAGGTGGCAGTAAAAGGCAGAGGTACAATCTGGTACCTACAGAAGAATATCCGAGTTGGAGAAATCAGAGACGTGTACTATGTACCTGATCTCAAAAGCAACATATTGAGCATGGGCCAGCTGATGGAGAAAGGCTACTCGGTTCTGATGAAAGACCGAGTACTATACCTGAAGGACAAGTCGGATCGTTTGATTGCCCGAGTAGAAATGAAGAAGAACAGAATGTACAAGATGGACTTGAAGATAGTCCAAGAGAGGTGCTTGAAACTAGACGTGAAGGATGAAGCAATGATGTGGCACTTTAGGTTTGGCCACTTGCATTTTGGCGGGCTGACCAAGTTGGTAAAGAAAGAGATGATGCGAGGACTCCCGTCTATGGAATTTGAAAAGAAATTTTGTGAAGAGTGTGTGCTCGGGAAGCATCCGAGAACCTCATTTCCGAGGACGGCCGAGTACCGTGCAAAGGAACAACTCGGATTGATTCACACAGATCTTTGTGGACCGGTTACCCCTGAGTCCTTCAGTGGGAAAAGGTATTTCATTTCTTTTAAAGATGATTTTTTAAGAAAAACCTAGGTATATTTTTTGAAGGAGAAATCCGAGATGTTTGAGGTGTTCAAGAGATTTAAAGCAATGGTTGAAAAAGAGACTGGCATGCCTATCAAATCTGTTAGGTCTGATCGAGGAGGCGAATTCATTTCATCCGAACTCATGAAGTATTGCGAGGAGCAAGGAATAAGGAGATTTCTGACAGCACCATACTCACCCCAACAAAACGGAGTTGCCGAGAGGAAGAATCGAACCATTCTTGACATGGTTCGAACAATGTTGAGAAGCAAAAATGTGCCAAAGGAGTTCTGGGCAGAAACAGTGCAATGTGTCATCTATGTGCAAAATAGATGTCCACATGCTAAGCTGAACGAGAAGACACCGCAAGAAGTCTGGAGTGGAAGAAAATCGAGTGTGTCTCACCTTAAAGTGTTCAGTAGCATAGTTTATGGTCATGTTCCAGCTCAACAGGAGTTCTGGGCAGAAACAGTGCAATGTGTCATCTATATGCAAAATAGATGTCCACATGCTAAGCTGAACGAGAAGACACCGCAAGAAGTCTGGAGTGGAAGAAAATCGAGTGTGTCTCACCTTAAAGTGTTCAGTAGCATAGTTTATGGTCATGTTCCAGCTCAACAGAGGACTAAGCTCGAAGATAGAAGAAAAAAGTACGTGTTTATTTGATATGATGAAAAAATCAAGGCGTACAGGTTGTTTAACCCAATAACTAAGAATGTCATCATGAGCCGAGATGTTCAAATTGATGAAGAAAGCGAGTGGAGTTGGAACAACCCGGAGAAGGAGTCCATAGAAAGTAGAAACTCGGAAGTTGATACACCACATACTGTAAGAGATCATGAGACTTCTGATGAAGAAGATGAACCTCTACAGCCCAGAGCGCGAAGTTTACAATATATATACAACTCCACTGACGAAGTGCATGTTGTATGTCTCTCGGCAGATTCAGAAGACTTAAATTTTGAATAGGCCGTGCAGGAGAAAAGGTGGAAAACTGCAATAGACGAGGAGATCGGGGCAATAGAATGCAACAACACATGGGAGTTGACTGATTTGCCCAGAGGAGCGCGACTTATCGGCGTAAAGTGGGTGTACAAGAAGAAGACAAATGCTGAAGGAGAAGTTGAGCGATATATAGCTCGACTCGTAGTGAAGGGGTACAAGCAGAAGGAAGGAATAAACTATGATGAAGTATTCGCCCCAGTGACGAGAATGGAAACAATTAGTCTTCTGATTTCCTTAGCTGCTCAACACAGATGGACAATCTTGCAGATGAACGTGAAGTCGGTATTTCTGAATAAAATCTTGGAGGAGGAAGTATATTTTGAACAACCACTCAGATACATGCGAAGAGGAGAAGAGAAGAAAGTGCTGAGATTGAAGAAGACACTTTATGGCTTGAAACAAGCTCCACGAGCATGGAATGAAAGAATTGACACTTACTTCAAAAGGAATGGATATGAGTAGTGTCCTTATGAACATGCTCTATACATAAAGAAGAAAGGAGAAGATGTGATGTTTGTTGCCCTATATGTTGATGATTTTATCTTCATGGGGAATAATTTAGGATCACAAAGGGGTAATTTAGGATCTTTAGGGTTAAAACCTTGTAAGAAATTTAGGAATTAGAAAGAAGGTGGAAGGAAAGAATCACTCAAAAATTTAGGAGAATCACTCTCACTAAGATAAAAGAGATAAACTCTAATATTTCTGAATAAAATTTCACTTGTTATTTCTTGATAAAAATGGTTCAGCTGATATAGAAGCGTTGCCATCAGAATTATAAAAGACTCAATAAAAGAAAATAAATATTAACAATAACCCATTAATCTAGGAATTGAAAACTATTTAATGGAAATAAATAAAGGCTAATAATGATCCATTAACCTAGGAATTGAAACTACTTAATGACAGATTGTATCTGAAACTGTGGCAACCAAAAGTCAATCAGCTATGCACCCCTTGGTCTCCCAAAGGCTGATGACTAAATTTTCAATTGGGTCCTTATTACAACTTAAAACAAAATCAAACTAAAGCCCATTAGTTGATTAATCCAAAACACAATTTGGTCAACCAACAATACTTGTTGAAGAGCTTCCTTTGTTTCCCTTGCTCTAGCCCTTATCATAGGTCATGTTCACATCATTCTCTCCCTCTTGAAAAGGATTTGTCCTCAAATCGGATTCGTCATCTACATTAAAAAGAGATAAGTCTGACAAGTTAAATGTAGAACAAACATTATACTCACTTTTAATGGCTAAATAGCTCTGTTTCACTTCAAGTGTTTCACTCTTCTTTTGATCACTTTTTTTCCTCTCAAGTGTTTCACTAACGCTTTCTTTCTCTCTCTTTTCTTGAAGAAGTTTTTCTTTCATTTTCTTTTTATCCTCACATACTTCTTGTGGACTCAAAGGTTTGAGCACAATCTTCTTGTCTTGGTATATGAAAGAAATCTTATTGGTGAACCCGTTATGATTAACTCTTTTATCAAATTGTCATGGTCTCCCCAAAAGTAAATGACTGACTTCCATAGGAATAATATCACAAAGCACCTTATCATTGTATTTTCCAATGGAAATGTCCACTTCAACTTGTTGTCTCACTTGCACCTCTCCATCTTTACTAAGTCATTGAAGTTTATATGGCCTAGGATGTGGTTTGGTAGCTAAATTTAGTTTTGATACTAATTTAGCACTAGCCACATTAGTGCAACTACCTCCATCTATGATCATCATGCACATCTTGTCATTGATTAAACATCTAGTGTGAAAAATATTTTTTCTTTGGTTTTCTTCCATAGGTTTCAATTGACTATCAAATAATCGCCTAATCATCAATAAATCTCCCTTTGGAATTTCTTCCTCTTCCTCAGTGTCTTCACTCTTTTCTCCCTCTTCAACCTCAGATTCACTTATATATTCTCCCTCTCTAAGAATCATGGTCTTTGTGTTAGGGCACTCATAAGCATAGTGTCCTAGGCCTTGACACTTGAAACACTTCACATCTCTACTTTTTTTAGAGGATTGTTCTTCATATTTTGAATGAGTCTTTGTAGGAATAGGTGTGGAACTACTAGAAGTAACAGTCCCATCTTTTTTACCTTTATCCTTCCAACTTGAAAATCCAAAGTTGGTAGAACTCTTCTTAGTCATTTCTTTTCTTTTGAGTTGTTGCTCCACTTGAATTGTTTTATGAAGTAAATCCTCCATATCAACAAACTCCTGCAACTCAACAATATCACATATATCAATATTCAAACCACCAATAAATCGGGTCATAGTTACCTCTTCATCTTCTTCAATCTTTGCTTGAATCATGAGCATGTCCATTTCTTTGAAATACTCCTCAATCCCTTTGTTGCCTTGAGTAAGTTTTTGGAGTTTAAATTTCAAGTCCCTTGCATAACTAGTCGGCACATACCGCTTCCTCATGATCCTTTTCATCTCAGTCCATGTATTAACCATTGGCTCTTCATTTCTATCTCTCTCCTTTTGTAGCTTGTTCCACCAAACAAGAGCATAGTCAGAAAATTTTGTTGTTGCAAGCCTCACCTTTTGGGTCTCCTCATAATTGTTGCATGAGAAAACATGCTCTATTTTCATCTCCCACTCCAAGTATGCTTCTGGATCACTTTTTCCTTTGAACAGAGGAATGTTTAGCTTGACTCCTTCAAGCCTACTTGGTCTTGTTACTCCATCATTCATTCTCCTATTTCTCCTTTCTTCTTCGTCTTCAGAATTTCTATTCTCCAACCGGTTCAATCTTTCATGGAGTTCATTGTTATGTCGTATCATTAATCCTTCCAAATGTTGTACCAATACTCTCATTTGAATTGGACTAATTCCTGCTTCTTGATTGTAATTTTCCTCTTCTGCCATCAATTTGATGTTTAAACCCTTAAACCGGAGCTCTGAATACCAAAAGACGTGAATCACAAAGGGGTAATTTAGGATCTTTAGGGTTAAAACCTTGTAAGAAATTTAGGAATTAGAAAGAAGGTGGAAGGAAAAAATCACTCTTCCCAAGGGAGGCAACACACAAAGGATGTGACAGTCCTTTGATACAGCCAAGGGTTCTTGAATCACTCAAAAATTTAGGAGAATCACTCTCACTAAGATAAAAGAGATAAACTCTAATATTTCTGAATAAAATTCCACTTGTTATTTCTTGATAAGAATGATTCAGCTGATATAGAAGCGTTGCCATCAGAATTACAAAAGACTCAATAAAAGAAAATAAATATTAACAATAACCCATTAATCTAGGAATTGAAAACTATTTAATGGAAACAAATAAAGGCTAATAATGATCCATTAACCTAGGAATTGAAACTACTTAATGACTGATTGTATCTGAAACTATGGCAACCAAAAGTCAATCAGCTATGCACCCCTTGGTCTCCCAAAGGCTGATGACTAAATTTTCAATTGGGCCCTTATTACAACTTAAAACAAAATCAAACTAAAGCCCATTAGTTGATTAATCCAAAACACAATTTGGTCAACCAACAATACTTGTTGAATAGCTTCCTTTTTGCTCTAGCCCTTATCATAGGTCATGTTCACATCACACTCGGATACATGCGAAGAGGAGAAGAGAAGAAAGTGCTGAGATTGAAGAAGACACTTTATGGCTTGAAACAAGCTCCACAAGCATGGAATGAAAGAATTGACACTTACTTCAAAAGGAATGGATATGAGCAGTGTCCTTATGAACATGCTCTATACATAAAGAAGAAAGGAGAAGATGTGATGTTTGTTGCCCTATATGTTGATGACCTTATCTTCATGGGGAATAATGCCGAGCTAATTGAAGAGTTTAAAGAAGTGATGAAGAAGGAGTTTGAGATGACTGACTTGGGTCTTATGAAGTATTTTCTTGGCTTAGAAGTTGTTCAGGGAAAGGATGACACCTTTGTGTTGCAGGAAAGGTATGCTGAGGAGGTCTTGAAGAAGTTTAAGATGACAAGCTGCAACCCGGTTTCCACCCCTATGGAACCTGGTACAAAACTTTCTAAGTATGCAGATGGAGACCGAGTTGATGCAAGTAAATACCGAAGTCTGATTGGAAGTCTTAGGTATCTTACAAATACCAGACCAGATTTAATGCTAAGTGTTGGAATAACAAGTCGGTATATGGAGGAACCAAGGTATACTCATTGGAAGGCACTAAAGAGAATTCTAAGGTATGTGAGAGGAACAGTGTCACTTGGCCTAATATATACTAGGACGGATGATTACCGACTAGTAGGCTACTCGAATAGTGACTGGTGTGGAGATGTTGATGACCGGAAAAGCACGTCTGGATATGTATTCTTCATGGGAAACACAACATTCACCTGGCTTTTAAAAAAGCAGCCCATTGTAACGTTGTCAACTTGTGAAGCCGAGTACGTTGCAGCATCCTGGAGTGTCTGTCATGCAGTTTGGCTTAGAAACCTTCTAAGCAAGCTGGAGTTGAAGCAAGAAAAAGGGACTGTGATTCGAGTTGATAACAAGTCGGTCATTGAATTGGCAAAGAACCCGGTCAATCATGAGAGAAGCAAGCATATTGATGTTCGGTTTCACTTCATCCGAGAACAAGTGAAAGAAGGAAATGTGGAGTTAGAGCACGTCGGAACCCGAGCACAAGCTGCAGATATGTTCACGAAACCACTGCCAACCACTCTGTTTGAGAACAACAAGAAGATGCTTGAAATGAAGGACAAGAAAAGCATTTAAGTTTATGGGGGGATTTTGTTAGGTAAACATTAAATGCATGTAGTTAAGAGGTAGTAGTTATAGAGGTAGTAGTTGTATTGAATGTATGTAGTTGAGAGATAGTGGTTGTATTGAATGTATGTAGTTGAAAGGTAGTAGTTGTATTAAATGCATGTAGTTGAGAGACCATATCCAAAGGCCTATAAATTGACCATGTACCACTCATTGCAAATACATCAAGTGATAATATACAGAGTGCTTTATTTAGATAATTGTTTGTCAACAAAATTTAGGTCACAGGTTAATGTCATTCTTTGAATTAATATTAGAAGACACATTTAATACAGACTATTGAAATGCCAATAACGTCCTCATTAATAAAAATAACTGAAATCAGCATATATTGATTCCAGCATGTGCAAATGGTACAAAATAAAAACTATTTCTTAGAAGAGCATCTGGGCAGAGTATATCTTTGACAGTGAGAAGCTAGGGGATTTTGAAAACATTGATCACATTTATATGTATACCAAATATATCTGTGAGATAAGTTACAGCAGAAAATAATTTATTCTAGCATGTGCAAATGGTATGAAAAAAGAACTGTTTCTTAGAAGAGCTTCTGGGCAGAGTATATATTTGACAGAGAAGCTAGGGGATTTTAAAAATATTGATCACATTTATATGTATATCAAATATATATATGCGAGTTAGTTACAGCAGAAAATAATAGTGACATGGCAATGCAACTCCCCATAAGAGTATTCTAATAGAATAGTTAACAAACTCTTCATATATGCATGATGTTTCTACCATTTTTTTAATGTCAACATATATAATCATGTAATAAAAAGTTAAATGACTATAAATAACAAGATTCATCAACCTGTTAAGAAAAGAATAAAGTTGAGGGAAATTACAAGTAAAATATATTTTTTTTGTTTTTTTGGTAAAAAAGAAAAATTCCTAATTTAGGAAACTAGAACATGTTACATTCCAAACTTGCAATTAATGGTGTTCTTGCTTGTACAAAACTTATACTGGCACTGAGCATTTAGAAGCAAAATCACAGAGAAGGCCTCTTTAATTCTGTAAAGAAAGATATCTTATTGATAGAGTTATTGAAATTTTATCTTAAAAAATAGGATATTACCTAGATGGTTGTTGCCAAGATCCATTGGCTGCCTGAACAAATTGTGCACATGAGAATGAAGACTTGAGAGAGAGATCCTCTTTAATCAAATGTTGTACGTCATGCAGAATAGCTGAAACAACTTCTTGCTTCGAAAGGAACTCTGACATGTTACTGAAAATGTGATCATTGTAGAATTCCACTTTGGTTGGTTCTTTCATCCCTAAATACCTTTTCATAATCACCCGCTCCATTTCCGATTCAGTTTTAATGAAGTTATCATTTAAAAGATCTTCAGAAACACTAGTAGGACCAAGCCATTTAATAGGATAACTCAAACTTACAAGTTTTCTGCTTTTGTACGATTCAAATATTGGAAGATGTCTGATGATTTCAATATGTGTGTCATCAATATGCTCTTCAGAGAACCATTTTGTTTGGAGAATAAAACTTCTGAGTTCATGAAGCTCCCCTTCGGATACATCAGTAAAGATCCCCTCAATCTTCTGTGGTTCCCAAGCAATTGCCAGAAACACATTTAATACACCTCTTGCTGTTGCCGGCTGCACAAAGTATTCCAATTTAGGGTGATCCAATAACAGATCACATCTCAAGAATAAACATCCAACCTTAACTAATAAAGAAGACATCTTCTCACTCCATCCATCATTTCTTATCACATTCAATTTTTGTCTTAACTGCATCAGGCAGTCATCCCCAACTGGCAATATAGGCCATTTAGAAAAAAGGATAAGATCATCACAATATGATTTAAGATAGTTCCACAGTAGTTGCAACCATTCTATACTTGGTTGGCCATTAATACCAGGAGTCCAACTTACTTGTCGAGCATGTTGCCACTCTACAGGAAGTAATTTCACAAGAAGTTTCTCAAGCAATTGGCATGACAAGAAAGAAATGTTTGTGCTATCTGTTTGGGCAATGTAACAAAGTTTTCTATGGACTTCTTCTGGAATAGCACTATCTACAAGTTGATGTGGAATGAAATCTTTCAAAAGGCCATATTCATCACCACGTGCAATGTAAACTCTTTCCCCAACTCCCTTCATATCAATTGATGTAAAGGAACCATCTGCAACTGGTAACAAGGGCAAGCCACATAGGGCATCACACTGCAAGGATTTTTGTAAGTCATATAAGCAATATTCAAGAGTCAGAATCATTGCATCCCTGTCTTTGAATTCGCGCTTCCTTTTGATTAAAGAGGTCCGTAACAACTTTGGTGTCAGAAAATGCAATGATGGACAGATTTCCATAAACCTTTCAGAAAGTGTCTGGGGAAGTGTGATGACAGGTAGAGAAGCCCCAGATAGCGCTTTTATAAGATCAGCTGCCTTGGGGAAAGTAAAATCAGGAAATATAGCATGTTTGGTTGAAATCCACTGACCTCCTCTAGCTTCAGTATATAATACACGGAGATTAAACTCAGCAACAAATTGATAGAGTTTCCTTACTGCTGATGCCCAAGGTTCTAAACCTAACGTTGCTGGCCATAATGAGAAGAACAAATTGCAAGGGCCAATCTCTGATGCTATCTTCTCAAGCAAACGACCATATGCAGGGGCAACAACATTTTCAAGGAGGTAAATATTCCAGTCTGAGCGTTTTCTTCCACCTCCAGTCATATCAGAGCCGAACCAGATATCTCTTCTATTTGATGATAATTCAAAGTATGCATTTACATGAGTAGGAAGACCAGTATTGATTGGTAAAGGTAAAAAGCAGAATGCACGACCTTCAAAATTTTCCATCAGATGGTTAGGCAAACTAACACTTTGAAACAAATCAGGAGAAGCCATGCAATCATCCTCCACCTTTGAACCTTCAACCAGGTCAACATCAAACTTAACACAATTCAAATATGCAGCAACACATGCCCAAGGAACAAAATTGTAACAGTTACTATTGGCTGTTTCAAATGTTTTCTTTTGAGCATTCCCATCACCTAAACATTCTGTGGTTATCCAATAGTGTGAATTGCGACTAGATGGGCTTTGCTCTGTAATAAGGATCTTCTGGCATTTATAAGGCAAATCTCTACCACTGGATAGGCTTAGTTTCTTCAGAAACTGAACTCTATTCATTCCAACACGTCTACTTTCCTTGTAGAAGTTGAACACATCCTGGCCTTCAGCAGATCCAATTTCAGGCTCACCAATACAGGTTCTGCATACACGGTGCAGTAGGCACATTTCATTCACTGTTCCTTCCTTCACAAAAATAGAGATAGATTTCACATTGCGCAGGAAAAGTAATGTTTCAGAAACAACCTCAGAAAAAGAAGCGAAAAGAGATCTGACATCTTCAGGTGTATAAATTTCCTTTTTGATTTGGCTTCGGGAGGCAACACCTGCAGTTCTAAGAGGGAATCGAAATAGTGTACCAGGAAAAGGATGCTGCAAATCACAGCCAAAATGTAGCATTGGGGAAAATTGATCAGGAAATTGCTCCAAAATCTGCCGTCCCACAAACTTAATTCGTAAGCCAGGGTGCGAAGGAGAAATCCCAGGCAAATTGCTGGCATGAGGGTCAAACATTACAATATTTTCTCCAGAAACAAACATAGGAATGTCTGTAAAGTGATAGACGCAATTAAATCCTAGTCCAAATCTTCCAATAGCAAAAGCCTTCTCCAGTTTACTTTCTTGACCAATACGAGATATTGCATAAAGATCTTGCGGACTAAAAACTGAGTCATTGAAACAGTATAGAGCAGGGCCTTGCCAATCAGCCATTTCAGGAGAAAGAACAGAAGAAGTCCCATAGTGAGAATTATCCAAAAGAAATATTACTTCAGAAGCTCCTGCATCTTCTGCATTTTGTACCAGCTCAAATAGGGTCCCAGGTCCATCAGCATACATTTCAAGTATATGCTTAAGCCTCGTAGTCAAAGCCTCGTGCTGCCCAAAAGCCTCAGCAGCTCCAGACAAGCCAAAATTCATTGAATCTGAACTCTCGGCCAGCAACATCCGTCGAAGAGAGCAGACTCCAAGCTTTTCTGCTACATCATTAGAAATATTTCCATGCACAAATTTCTGAACTGCTCTCTTTGCATTCCAAGCCACAGTTGGTGCATTTCCAAAGGAGCCATTGGGATCATCTGAACCAAGCAGCCAGGGGGCATCATTATAAACCAAGTCACCAGCAAGAAATAGTCTACCTGACACATCTGGCAGATAGAGCTGGACCTTTTGTTCATGATGATAAACGTCAGCTAAATGATGCACAATTAGCGTGACAGCCCTTATCTCCTGTGTATCAAGTGGAGATGATCCTTTTCTAAGTGCCATCCGATGAAGAATATTTGCATAATCAGCAGGTTGCAAATATTCACGAATACCAAGTTCTAGAAACAATTTTTTGAAAACTGCCAAATCAACTGGGATAACACGAATATATGGAGCCAAATGAAGAGGACCATCTAGAACAACTTCTTCAGAAGTTGCAAATCCGTCCCCCACCCAAATCCATCGACATCCTTCAAGAACAGCTTTTACAATCTCAATCTCATCTGAAGACATCATTCCAGTCAGTATTGAGTATATTCTCGGCATTGACAAGGCTAACTCCTGCCTAAGAACTTGATCAGACACAATTTCATTGTTCTTCCCAAGCTCTAGTAACTGTGCGGCAATTACACCTCCTCCAGGTGGAGACATCCATCCCAGGCCATACAATAAAGCTGTGGAAGAACATTCGGCATCCAATATCCGCATGCTAGCTGAGACAAGCCACAAATCATTCAGTGGCCTTACAAGTTTTGGAGGAGCAACCATTGATGATACAACTGGCCATGGTAATGATTGAAAAGGAGTAGTGACTAAAACTGGGCACCAGGAAATCAGCCGTAGGTCATTCCAAAATTTTTCAAGACCAGATTTTGTGTTGCGAGACCTAAATGCAGTTGTCGCTCGTGACAATATTCGGTTAACTGCTCCTTTATTATCGACATCTTGATCAGGAAGCCACTTTAATGCATTAACTTCAAGGTAAGAGAAAAGCACTTTACCTCTTGAACATGCCTTTTGTTGATCCTCATGCATTAAACGCTCTATGCATCGAGCACATTCTAAAACAGCATCTGGAGAAACAGAAGTTCTAAGTCCCAGGCCTCGTAGAATATTAAGTATTTCAGATTCTCGAAAGGCACCAGTGGGGAAACTATCTGTTTCTTCTAGTAACGCATATAGTTCTTCATTACCAGGATCATATAAAACGGAAGGACACTTAAGAGTACCAGTGAGTGTCGGTATGAATTTCAAATTTTTTAATGAGTCCTTGATAGTTACATCTTCAAGGGACAAAAGTGGCAAATTTTGTAGAACTGATAACATTATGCTATCCCGAACATCAGCTTGCAACTCACCAACTCTATTAAAAACATGCTGCATGTAAAACTGTGCTTTACCCATTCTCTTAACTCCATAACATCTAGACAAAATATCCTCTTCAACTTTTGAGGACTTGACCATGAACTCAATGCCCACCAAAATAATCTCTGGCACATCCAATGGTGGTAAGTACTTTTGAGGATTTTCTAAGATAGAGAATTGGAAATCTTCAACAGAATCTCTTCCATAGACTCTAAATATAGGTAATCTCTTGCAAAACCTTATGCTAAATTCATCCATAGAGTGTCCAACATACCATTTAGGGTCAAGAAGAAATCTTCGGAGTTCATTTCTTTCTTCAGTTACTAGACTATCAAATGAAGCATTCACAACATCAGGACTAGAAACTGCATTAAATATTGATTCCAGAACACCTGCTGCACTGTCATCACATACATAACTAGATATATCTGAATGTTCAATTACATAATTTGGATTCAATATATTACATCCAACTTTTACAAGGATATCCTTTACCATATCAGATATATTGCTTCCTTTGATCATTTTCAATTGCTTAGAAGGTCTTAGCAGATGCCCTGATGTGGAAGGCAATATTGGCCAATCACTAAATAGTGGTAATATTTCAGTATGCTTTCCTAGATATTGCCAAAATAACAGAAACCATGATGACGTTGGCTTTTGACAAGAGTCAGGGTTCCAGAACACTTTACTTTTATATTTCCAGTCACCTGGCAAAAATGCAGGGAATAGCTGTGCAAACTGGTGAATACTACAAAGAATAACATTGGTCTTTGAAGACTTTGCAATACCAGAGAGCCTGCTCAACATATTGGGAGCAATGTTCTGATCAATTACTCTATAAGAAACCGGCTGCAATAGCTTGTATTCTAATTCATCACAAATGAAATAAGAGACTCCTTTTGATGCTTCTGAAAATGATGCAAAATTGCCATTGGCTAAAGGAAGTAAAGGTAGATCATAAGCCTCTTTACCAACATCATCATCAACCAAGTCCTCTAGGCAATATTCCAGCAATAGAAGCTTGTACTGTCTACTCAAATAATTAAATGTAGCACATTCCCTAAGAAATTGACGTACTGTACCAGATGTAACCACCTTGCTTGAACTATATTGTAAAAGCATATCAAACAATGAATTAGGCAAATGCACAATTGGCATTCCCAGCTGCATCAGAGCCAAACCGAGGTCTTCACTTTTGGTAAATTTTTCATCATGAAGAAAGGCTTCACTTGGTGATACCCATCTTCCTCCATTGACATCTGAATACATAACTGGAGCATTACCAATATTATTGTATATTTGTCTAACCAAAATACTCCATGGCTCTTCAAAAGTTCCAATAGGCCATAAAGAATAATAAATGTTTGTTGGCCCTAGCAATTCTTTAATACCAAGTAGCATATGCATAAAAGCAGGAGCTACGAGATCTTCCAGAAGAAGCCTATTCCAGATAGAACGAACTTTTCCACTTCTGTCCATGTCATCACCATACCAGATGCCACGACGATTTGATGACACCTCAAAGAATCCATTGACTTGTACACTAAGGCCAGTTCTAACAGGCAGTGGAAGAAAACAGAATGCTTGACCGGTCCTAAGAATATTGTCCTGTAAAAAATACACATGGCAATATGAGGAAAAAAGCAAGTGAAAATTATCATATACACTTCATTTATCCTTCAATTAAAAGGGTCAAAAGTTATGAGTCATCTTTCATATAATAAGTTAGACACAATACAAGGGGTAACTTAGGGAGAGCCCTTCCCCATGCCATCTTGAAGACCTGGACAAGCCATCGTTTTTTCACTTCTCTGATAATGTATGAAAGCATTAGCATATTATTCAATTTAAAGTGCTCAATCAATTTAATGAATTGACTTTCTTTTGCTTTATTTTCTTTTTATCTTTCTATTAATTTTTTATGCATTATTAAGACACAAAAAGGTTATTAAACAAAATGTCATTTTGTTATATCTTCTGTCCTATATGAAAGGGTTCCAAATGTGTACCAAAAGGATTGAGATATAATTGAAAGGAAGAAATATTTTGTCCTCTTCCCCGGGTTTCAAACCATAAAACCAATCTCTCCTATGAGAGAACATTTACTAGTCTCTAATTCTCAGTTGTGTTCTCAAAACATCTCTTCATAAATATGTAAATGACTTAAAATATTTTACCCAGCCCTGTTGATATCAAAAAAAAAATATCTATTCACTTCTTTCTGTCAGAAGCAAGTAGGTTAGAGCAGCGAAAAAGTAGTGTAGAGAGCTCAACAGCTGTTGAGAGGCATAGAGATGAAGTTTCTCATGCAATTGGTCAACAGCTCGCAGAAAATCTCAAAAAAAGATCTCCATTTGGTACCAAAAGCAACGCACAACACTATCAGTAGAACAGTAGATAGACTTGTACATGGAGTTAGACAAGATAGTTTCATAGATTGGAATGCACCATCACTTGCAATATACCTAGAAGATATTGTTAGGTCTACACTTCCTGTAAAAGATTCAAGGTCTATGATTGATAAACCCCTAATTTCTAAATGAAATTGTGCATGTAATATCTTTGTCATGGGTAACTTCATTGCTTATATCATATTCTTATTTAGAGTTGGACAGCTATAAAATCAAAAGCAAGTTCCAATGGATGCATCATGGGCAACATAACATGTCATAACAGATTCACCATAATGGAAGTTTGTTTTTAACAAGATTCTAAAGGAAAATCTAGAAACACAAAAACCAATCAAGAATTTAAATTAGAAACATCCCACAGAGGATACAGTATCCTACAATAACAAAGGAGAATAAAGGAAAGCAGAGGACCAAAAAACATAGAAAACTGTAAAAAATCAGTAAAGAGCTTTAGTTCACTTCATGGCCTGTTAAAGATACATCTCTAATCTAAATACCACGTCCAGAACACCATAAAGATGCCAAAAGAATTAAATCACCCTTATAATTGTAATAAAAACAAGAATTTATACCTAAGATTTTAATATTCCTGTATAACCAAGACAAACAAGCAACAGCATGATTGAATTTTCTCCTAGAAAAACATCCCATGATCTCCCAAAACCTCTACTCAAACGAGTAAAATCTCTTAAAACTCTCTGAACAAGCCCAACAAGTTTTCATACTTCAAACAAAGCTACATGCTTAACTTTCAATCATGAATTGCAATCAAATTAATTGCAGGGCTGCATGAAACAAAATGTAGATAAATGGGTCACCACTTTCAACTTTGTCCACATCCACACTAAGATGACAGCTAATAAGGGTGCAGAACCAAAAGCAAATCACAAGCTATAGTAACAACTAGAATTCAATGTCTGTGCACATGGGGAAGGGAGAGAGGAGGCCGGGACAACAGCAAAAGACATAAGATATTGAAAATTACATTGGGTGAATTTTCAGAAATGCATGCTGCAATTGATGCCCATGGCAGCAAATGAATGTCATAATCTTTTGATGCCGTGGTAGCAAAAGATCCAATCCTACTAGAAGCGGCGGCCATGGTTTGCACCACATAAAATCTCTCAGTTTGCTTCTCAGCTTTATCTCCACTTATTCTCTCGCTTAAGAAGTCCAACGGAAATGCATCCATTTCAGCAGTGGTATTTAAACGCTTAGATAATCTGAGCAGTGTCTGTCGATGCCAAACTGTATCATCAGTTACTGAACTGACAGAACATGAATGGATTTTCTTTGGTTCTGGTTCTCCAGCATCCCAAAAATACATTTCAATGCACAGCACACTCTTAAGAAAGAGAAGTGTCAAAACTCCTTCTTCAAAGAGCTGAACAAACATGGAGGAAATGTCTTCAGGTAAATATGCTTGTCTTGAAAGCTTACTTTTGGCTGCCTGGTCTGCATTCCTCAAAGGAAAACGGAATAAAGTTCCAGAAAAAGGACTTTGCATATCACAACCAAAAGCACAATATGGGGAAAACTGGTCCCTGTAGAGTGACAGGATAGATGAGCCAGTGAAATCAATCCGCTTCCCAGGATTTGCTGCAGATACTCTTGGAAGATAAACACCCTGAGGATCAAACAATACAACATATTTGCCGCTCACAAAAGAGGGAAGATCTGTCAAATGGTACACTGAGTTGAAGCCAACCCTAAAAAGCATATGGAGAACAAAATGAAGACAAGAATTAAAAAAATGCAAAGGACCCAAACATCGGGTTAATATGATATCTTTTTACAGAAATGAATTGATAGACCGAAAAAGGGAAACTGGGAACGTTGATTCCCAAAAAAAATGACAATTTTGAAATATTAAAGATATATAAACAGTCATATATATCCAACACCCCATTACCACGTATCCCTTCTCTCTATCTCTTACTTCCTACCATACCTACACTTCTCTCTTTTTACACTCTTTCTCTCTACATGTCCATTAGCATTTAAGTGTCCTTGGACGACTTTCCTTTTCTTTTAAATATATGAGTGCAACTATATCTATGGGTACGGTAATGACAAATATTCAAATTCAACAACATCCCCCATTAAGTTTATTAATGAAACCATCATGACATTCCAACATGTCAATCTCATTTTCAGAAGCTTGGCATTGCAGTACAGAAATTCCAGCTTCTTCCTACAGTTCACTCGTAAATGAAAAAGGAAACGATCAACAAAAACAAGCCATCTCACTACATTTTTACGCTTCTCACAAAACACACATACAAATACCAAAAACACGCAAATTCTATATAACTATAAAACTCCTTCACCAATCATCAAAAACCACACATCACTTCTCTACCATATTTTCCAGTTAAAACTACAACAACAAAAAAATTACACGTAAACCAGCGCAGTTTATATTTTTGAACCTCTCACAAACTCGCCTAACATACCAAAATCATTAATAAAAAATAGAACATGACAACACAACTCCTTTGTCAACAACCATATCTCACTTCACCCCCTATTTTCCAGCGACAACTACAACAACTTCACACATAAATCCATGGATTGAACCAATCATCAAAACAAATGCACAACATCAATCAACCTAATCACAGTTCAATCGAAGAAGTTGAATAAGACCGTGGCGAAAGCGAAATTACCCGAAGCGACCGGTCTTCGAGGCCTGTCCATGCTTGGTGCTCCCTCCGATCTTGGAGATGCTAACGAAATCGTCCTCGGTGAAAACAGCGTCGTTGTAGGCCAGCAGCGCGGGTCCCTGCCACTGCGCGAGGGAGTTGGCAAGCAGCGAGTCGCCGGCGTGGGAGCGGCGATCGAGGCAGAGCGAGACGGTGGTGGCGCCGGCGTCATCAGCGTTCTGTATGAGCTCCTTGAGGACGGTGGTTCCCTCCGGATAGTTGAGCAGAACCTCGCGGATGCGGCGCGTGAGATCAACCGTCTGCCCGAAATCTTCTAGAAAGACCGATTCCGGTGACGACATTGTTCTACGGCGGTCGATTGAGCATGAGAAGACTCTGGTGTTGCGTTGCGATAGATTTTATTTTTTATTCGCTCTCTACGTCCAATGAAAAAGAGGAAGAGAGAGAGAGGGAGGGGGGTTTTGTTTTGAGACAGAAGAATTTCGCGGTTGTTTTGGAGTAGTTGGTGTCTCTCTTTCAAGGAACCTGATAGGTAGCTTTATTTTATGGAGGGTGATGTATGCTTGCGTGTCATTACATTTTTCAACTTTTTGAACTCGTCTTCAAGTCTTGATCATGACGATGGAGCCACTGCGAATTTTCTACTTTTTAAACCATTAAAGAGTTGTTGACGACGTCCTTTAAAAAAAAATTGTTCACGAGTTATATAAATTTACATTATATTAATTTAATTTTGTTCATAAAATTTGGGACAACACAAGATATCTATTTCGTTTTCCCCATCACAAAAAATTTGGATCAATATGCAGAAGAAATTATATCTCTTCAATTAAAACTCTTGGCGAGAAGACACGTGTGCCCAAATTGAAACAAAAACAATTAAACTGCAAATCAAAATTCTGGCATAAATATATAAGAGTGACACATGATTGAAAACGCCTTTTTATTGATTGTAATATATATGTATAATATATAGTTTTTTTTTATACATTTATAATTGCTTTGTATAAGGTGAAACTTTACAAATTAAGCTAGATAAGCAAGAACTCCCACCAAAGGTGCAATAGTAACTGTTGCTGGCTCAGCTAGTTGAAAATCATTCCTACTATCATCATATTTATCATTTCCATCTGGACTCACAACTGCACCTACCAAAACATTAGGGTTTGGTGCATCTTTATAAAACCAGTCCTGAAAGCCACCTTTACAAGATACTGGGTTAGGATCCTTTTTTATTGATACAATTGATGCTCCTCTGTGATGAATTTTTTGTGGGAAATTTGACCCGTATCCAACCATGTAACTCATGTTTCTAGGGTTAGAACCCAAAATGTAGTCAACCTAAAATAGAGAAAAAAACATGTCATATTTTTGTTTAACGGAAGAGAAAATACACAGAAAGTTGAATTTAAGAAACAACTTTTCAATGCAATCTGTAACATAAATGTTTGTGAAGACAATGTTGGAGACAAATATTGGAGTACCTGGGAACGAACAAGAGAAGTGAGATGATCAGGACTAACATCACCACCACTGCACTGTAGGGATGCACCTTTTGAAGATAAATAATTGGAATAAACAGACATGACAAATGTTGCAGTAGCAACATATTGATTATTGTTCCATGGTAAGAACCAGAAGAGACCCCCTGGTGTTTTCTGAACATTTTGGTTTGACTTCTGAGCACAGGAGCATACGTATTCCTCTGCCTGTGTCTTGTATTGAGCCCATATCCCTGATGCATCCGCTTCTCCATCCAAAACAAACTGCATCAAACACATCATATTCAAATCCCAAAACAGTTTAGCTTTTAACAGTTGAAAACAAAATTTACTTTTAAAATTCAGTACTATATATATATGATACCTTTGCTGCAAGGACGTGTGCACCTACAAACTTATCATCCCAACTAAACTCTGTTCTTACACCACCACTGTCACTAGCTCCTCCCATGTAATCAAGGTACTTCTTCATGTTGGTTGCACGATAAAGCCATGCTGCTCCCCACAACATTTCATCCTGTTCATTTAATTAACACAATTAAATAAATTTCCATATATTCAAATAATATAATATTTTATTATGTAAATACCAAAATTATAACTAATTAATGTCAAAAATATGCATATATAATTTCATTTAATTTTAATTTCCCAAAATAGATAGACCCACCTCGTATCCGCTGCTGGAATATATTTGCCTTGCTGGTGGGATACTGTCTGAATACTTACCTGGATGATTTTTTGCAAAGTCGAACAACTGCAAGATCAAAATTTTGTTAATATTTATCGGAAAAGTTTCATGGTGTGGACGCAAATATAAAATCATACGTACCTGCGTTGCATGAAGTAACATGGTGGAGGAGTATTTCTTATCCACAGATTTGAACACTATGGAGGCAGCGGCCAAAGCCGCCGCTGTTTCGGCCGCGAGATCGGAGCCGGGGTGCTGCTCGTCGAGCTTGTAAGAGCTGCGAGGCGTGGTCATGTCCTCCGGGCGCTGCCAGCAGGAATGATCAGAATCTGGATCACCGATTTCGCCATAGAAGACGTTGGGATCAGTGTGTGCTTTGATCAGATAATCTGTTCCCCATTTAATGGCGTCAAGCGCGTTTTTCAGTTCCTTATGTTCGGAGAGCTGATCCTCGAACTCTATTGTGCTCCATGAAAGCATGGTTATGGTGAATGCTAGTGGAAACCCTAGTTTCAGGTTGTCTCCAGCATCATAGTATCCACCAACAAGGTTAATCTGCGAGAAAAAATAATATCTGTGAAAAATGTTACTTCTATAACAAATTGTTCTACCTAAAAAATAAATATATAATAAAGTATTGGATGTAGAACAATATACCAACAAAAAATAATATTATTATTATACACATGAATTTCTGTATGTCAGAATACTTTGAGAACCCAGTATCAATTGTGTTCATACAAGAACTCGAATTTTTCGATGATAATCATTTCATGGGATGATAATCACCAAATAAATATTGATCACATCTTCGTAATATTAAATAAAATTATTTAATTATTCAACAATTAAATATAATATTTTTTTCTATTATATAAAGAAAAAGAGTTATGAGATTCTATTAATTAACGAGTTTCTTACGAGTTTCTTACAATGATCTCTTCCTATGCATTTAATTCCTGTTTCCGATTATTCAATCTATAAATATATATAATTATATATATAGATTAAATTTATCAACAAACTGAATAGTTAGTGAAGTTCAAAAAGGAATAAAACCGATAGATTTAATGTAAATTATTTTAAAGCAAAGAATAAAATGCAAATCAAGTAATTATATTTTAATGGCAAATTCAATTGATGGATATGTTATCACGACACTATACAAATAGGAAGTAAGGATTGTATAACATGACCAATGAAATAGTCATAATATTGGGATTTAAAAAAAATTTAAAGTTAATAATGAATATTACAAAACGATCAATGTTGAATGTGATAAGTTTGTCAACATTAATATTTAGGCTAAAATATTTCAAGAAAATCATTTTACATATATATCAATCATACAAATAATACATACTTCACTTTGACATTACAAAATAATTAACTATTAATAAAATCAATTTTTGTTATTCTTGAAATAAATAATGCAAAAATAAGATAAGAAATACTCTGGCATCTTGGCCATCTTTAAGCCCTGAATCTCCTCTCCAATTCACTCTCTGATTGGGTGGCAACTTCCCTGAACGTTGCCCCTCAAAATACAGCAAAGAATTTGTGAGAGCTTTTTTGTAATCAGCAGAGGCTGCATTAAGGATTTGGAAAGAACAAAAAAGGAGAATAATGAAGACGAAGACCCTCCTCACAGTCATCCCCATTGATTTCAGATCCACAACAACAATAAGGAAACCAATATTACTCTCACAATTTACTTTGCAAACACAAACCATGCTCTATCGTATTTATAGCACCAGAATCAAATCATTAATTGCAACTTAATCTTATTAATTATTATTTAATTCATGAATCATATGTTTTTGTTTATTAATATTTCCCATAAACCATTCATTTTTCACAAATTCATTCACTGTTTTTTCATTAAGTTTATGCTATGCACCAAATTGATCGATTACTTTTAAAAATATTAATTATTACAAACTAGCATGATTACCTTAAAAGTTATATGAAAAATAATTTATGATTGATCGAGGAAAATATTTACTATGTTTTTGAAGTAATAAATATATTTTTTTATATAATAAAAACTTTGCACGTTTGGATGCTTCAAATCAAATCAACTCGAAGGGTTAAAATATAGAAATATCAGTTTCATGATATCTTTATTATGCATATTACATAAATGGTCAAAACTAGTTAGTGCGTTTTAATCTCTATTGTTTGACTCTTTATATATTTATAATGTATTTTTAGTCCTCCATTAAAAAAAATAAAAAATTACCATTTATATTTTAATATAATTTAGACATAATAACGCGTCGAGGTGGGTTTTGCCTCCAGATCCTACTCCTAACTTTTTTAATTATTATATCTCTCATTTTTAATCCTCGTTAGAGTTAGAAATTAAGTTTTCTTTTCTGTCTACATTCAATTTTGGGTTTTAGGTTTCTCGTCCCTGCCCAGTCCCAAATCTACATTATTTTTTTAAAAATAATTATATTTATAATAAACTAAATTTACTATTTTATGTAATTTTATAATTTTTCTACATAAATAAAAATTTATAATTTGTAATTATTAATAATTAAATATATATTTTAATTTATTATATTTATATTAAAATATATTTGTAAAAAAATATTTAATTATTTTTTTATCCATATGTAAAATACTTAAAATATTATTATTATTATTATTATTATTATTATTATTATATTATTGTATTATATTTTTATTATTATTATTATTATATTGTATTCAAACATTTTATTATATATATAAGTTAATTTCTTTTTAAATTATAATTTTAAAATATGAAATATATACTTTATAAGAAAATATTTAATAAGTTAGTTGTTATTTAATTAGTTAAAAGGAATAAAAATTTAAAATATTAATTTTTTTAAATATAATTATTTTATTAAGATAAATTTTAATATATGACAAATAAGACTAATAAGATCCAAAAAATAAGATATAATAAAACTTAATAAAAATAAATTATAAATAAAATAATATTAGTTATTATTAATATTTATGTAAAATATTTAAAAAAACATAAAGAATAAAAGAAATTAAATTTGTGTTCATCAAATTGGTTAAAAATATTAAAAAAAAAACAAATTAATTAAAGAGATTAAGAAAATATGAAAAAAATGAATATAATTAACTAATTAATGTAAAATATCAAAAAAGACATAAGAATTAAAGAATGGATATAAGAAGAGTAATAATAGTAAAATATAAAAAAAAATTATCTTAGATGTAATAGAAAAAGAAATATTTTTAAAATATTATTTTTTAAAATTTAAATATAAAATCCGAACGGAATGAAGACAGGGTCAAGGTAGGGATTACATTCCTCATCCCTGTCTTTGAGTTTTCAAAGAAAAAAAATTCAAATTCATTTTTACCCTCAATCAATTCGATTTAATTTTTTTTCAATCAAACTCAAAATAGAAACGAATCACCTATAGAAATTTAATTGTAATTTCTATCCACGTGTATTAATTACAAAGGAAGAATATAATATATTTTAGTTTGATATTTTTTAGAAGCCGATAAAACTGATCACAGAATTTCAGTTTTAAGAGAAAGAATTGACCAGGAATATTTTTCTTAATGAACGTGTTTTGTTTTAATGATTACTCAGTGATTCGTATTAGTATCCTGAATCCGACTCTTCTCAATATTATAAATGTTTTATTTTTCATTTAATATTTATTTTATTTAGTTTTAAAAATATCATTAAAATGGATAGATTGATCAAAATTTTAATTACTATTGTTTGCTTTAAGAATATTAAACATTAATAATTATTTTAATGGCAAGATAATCACGACATTAACAAATTTGATACAAACAAAATAAACTTTAACCTGTCTTAATTATTAAATTAAATTTTCAATTTGAGATCAAAAATTTAAATCCGTAATTATTATTTATTTTCTTTAATTATATTCAAAACTAATGTATAATCAATTTATTATATCACATGTATATCAAAAGGATATTTGAATAATTATTGGTTAAAATGATTCGAATAGAAAATTAAATTATCCACATCAATATTTTTATTGTCCAAAATAAAAACTTCAAATTTATTACATTATAAAATTTAAATATATACATAACTATTTTTCTTAACTTTATGGTCATAAATATAATAAACTATTACTAAAAACAATTATAATTTTAAAATGAAATTATTAAGTATATAAATTACTTTTAAACATTTGTATATATAAAAAATCATATTTATTTGAAGTTAAAATTTATAATATATACACACACACACACACACACATATATATATATATATATATATATATATATATATATATATATATATATATATATATATATATATACACATATATAAGATTATAGAAATTTAATAAATATGATTACATTAAAACTTGTATATATTCGACTTAAAAATATCCTATTTTCTCAAAAACATATTCTCGTTATTATAAGTTTTTATTTTATTTTATTAATATGTTATTCATATCCTATAATTTTAATGTTGCTATTATATTCCTTTAAATTCTTTGTTATACAATTTATACAATAATATTTAATATACAATTTATACATCTAATTGCTAACTTATTACTGGATTATATTAATTAATAATTAATGAAAAAAGTACTCATTACTAGCTTTTTGGATAAATTTAGCGCAAACTATGTTTTTATTTGTTTAACTGTTTCAATTATGAAAAAAATTAAATAATAAAACTATTAAGATTAATATTTTTTAACGTGTAAACAAATAAAATTATGATAATTTAAAATTTTGAAAGGCAAATTTAAGTTCAATGTTTTAATTTAAATAACGAATTTTAAATGTTAAAATTTTAAATAATAATAATAATAGTAGTAATTGTGATTAATATATATTTAACAGGTATAAACAATCAAATTATGATAATTTAAAGTTTTGAAAGTCAAATTTCAATTCAATATTTCGATTTATAAATAAAGAATTTTAAATGTTACAATTTTAAATAATAATCGTGATTATCATTAATATTATATACTTTAACGTGTAAAAACACAAATTTACGATAATTTCAAAGTTTGAAGGTCAAATTTCAATTCTATATTTTAATAGATAACGAATTTTAAAAGTTAAAATGTTAGATATAACAATAATTATGATTACTATTTTTTTAACATATAGAAATAATCAAATTATAAATTTGAAAATTTGAAAGTATAATTTCAATTCAACATTTTGATTTAAATAATGAATTTTAAAAGTCAAAATTTTAAATAATAATAACTATGGTTAATATTTTGTTAACGTAAAGAAACAATCAAATTATGATCATTTCAAAATTTGAAAGTCAATTTTCAATTCAATATTGTTGAATTTTTTACTTTATATTTTAATTTTATTTTAAAAATTTAATATTTTAATTTATTGTTGAAAAAATGTACTTAAAAAAAATAGTCAAAGAAGTTAGAACGTTTTTATTTTTATTATATCATTCAAATTTTAAATTTCAATTTCAGTTCAACTTTTAAAATTATATTTTTTATTGAATTCTAATTGTACTATTTTCATCGATAAAAAAATAATTATTACCTCGGTTACCATTTATATAAAAAGTCACGCTTTATTTTTAAATTAATCAAATTTTAACCCTTTTTACTTTATTTAATAATATTCTATTAAAATAATTTAACGAAACTTAAATTTTAAAATCTGGTTAGATTATCTACAATGATTAGTTTTTCATTCTAATTAATATATTGGGTTTGAATCTCTCAAGATTTTATATATTTAAATTTTTATTTAATATTTTAAGTTTTGAAAATAATATAAGAATGCCTAAATTAATTAATTTAATATTATTGTATAAGCATGTTGAAATAATTTTTTTAGTTTTATTGACAATATATTTTTTATCGTTAATTTTAAGTAATAAATATAATGAGATTTCGAAAATATTTATTAATTTTTTTATTCAAACTATTGACATAAAATAAACTTTTGGTCTAATGTATGTTTTCGCAGAAAATTAATAAATGGTATATTGTATTGTGTGAAAAAAATATCATAACTTAAAAGAAAAAATTATTATTATAAATTATATATTTAATATATATATATATATATATATATAATTAGTGTAGAAAAAAATAGATTTAAAAAGAGTAGACTGAAAATAAAATAAAATATTAAAAAATTATATATATATATATATATATATATAATAAAAAATGTCATTTATATTTATATTTCTAAGTTTTATTATATTAACTATCAGAAAAAAGAAAGAGTAAATGACTCATGTCTAAACAAAATAAAATTAAAAGATAAAGGGTCTTTGTGCCATCTACATAACACGAGAACACATGTTAATAAAAAAAAAGTAAAAACAATCTAACTAATTTTTACAAACATTAAAAAAAAACTAATAATTATGAAAACAAGGTCAATTACACAGCTAAAATATAGCAAATTCATATCTTCGGGTCAATTTAGGACATGACATACACTACGTAGTCAAAATCCGTCAGTAATATATTTATTATTTATTAAATATTTTATCCCTTCCCTTTATATTTTTATTATTTATTATTAATTATTTTTCCCTATTACAATTTTATAGGATTCAATTATTATTGGATTAAGAGAATTATCATTGGCAGGATTCAACCCGAGCACCTTAGAGTTAGAGGCTAATACTCCAACCACTAAGCTACTAGAATTTTTCGATAATAATTTACAAATAAATTATATTTATATACAAATATATTTATATATTTTTATATATTTATATATATTTATATATATTTATATATTTATATATTTATATATTTATATATATTTATATATTTATATATTTATATATATTTATATATTTATATATTTATATATTTATATATATTTATATATTTATATATTTATATATATATATATATATTTATATATTTATATATTTATATATTTATATATTTATATATTTATATATTTATATATTTATATATTTATATATTTATATATTTATATATTTATATATTTATATATTTATATATTTATATATTTATATATTTATATATTTATATATTTATATATTTATATATTTATATATTTATATATTTATATATTTATATATTTATATATTTATATATTTATATATTTATATATTTATATATTTATATATTTATATATTTATATATTTATATATTTATATATTTATATATTTATATATTTATATATTTATATATTTATATATTTATATTTTTTTATATTTATATATTTATATATATATATATATATATTTATATATTTATATTTATATATATATATATATATATTTATATATTTATATATTTATATATATATATATATATATATATATATATATATATATATATATTTATATTTATATATATATATATATTTATATATATATTTATATATTTATATACAATTAAATATTTTTATATGTTTTTATATATTTTTATATAATTAAATATTTATTTTTTAAAATTATTTAATTTAAGAAATTATTATAAATTAATCTAATTTTGATTAAATGAAATTATTAAATAAAAAATATTAAATTTTTTTAATTAGTTAAATATTTACTAATTGATAATTTCCGATCGGTAATTTACAGATGAATTTACCGACGGATATATCCGTCTGTAATTAATTATTAATTTATCGACGGATTTACCGACGGATTTATCGACGGATATATCCGTCGGTAAATTCATCCATCAATTACCGACGGATTTATCGACGGATATATCCGTCTGTAACTAATTATTATTTTACCGACGGATATATCCGTCGGTAAGATCAAATTCCACAAATATTTTATATCCGTCGGTAATTTCAGTCGGTAATAATTATTTTCCGACGGATACAAATCCGTCAGTAATACGCGATTTTCTTGTAGTGATAGTCCGATATATTATTGTAACAACCCAAAATTATGCATATCATAGATAATTAAAATATCTATAGTAGTTAAAAATATAAATTCTCTATAGAGAAATATATACATACATATTTATTACCTCAAAAATAAATAAAATATAAATTTATACTACTCATTATTCTAGAATTTATTCCTATTGAGGTCTATCACCAAGTCAAATTTGTTATCGTGTAAATACACGATCATTATAGTTTACAACAACATACAAATATACACAGATAAACTAGTTATTCAATTTAAGCATGCGAAATTCAAATGTGTGATAAAATAACATAATTTAACTTCAATTTTTCATACATCACATCATACGCCATACAAACCTACATTTACGTCACACAGACACTAGATGATTTTTAGAAAATTAAATATTGAAATAAACATCAGAGATATACATCTATCACACCACAACTTCCTCAAGTGTATAACACAAGAGTGCTTAGTTTGGTATACACACTCACGTGTGACCAAGGTAAAATTTTAAATATCTTATCAAAGTATAATTCTTTTTCACACCAATACTAAGTCATTAGAAATTTCTTTCAACTATCATCATTTGTTTCTTTCATCTATGTGATTTCAATAATCAGCAATGTTAGAATATCTCCTTGAGTCCCAAATCAATATTTATACATAGAACTCTACACATATAAGATAACCCTTGATAATTCTCATATCACAACATAACATTTTTTTAAGACACATAATAGTATTCAAAACACCTTATTTCATATTTACAACATGTATTTTAATAGTTTAAGGCATATACACATCACTTCTCACATCATAACAAAATATAATTTTATTCCTAATTTGACTTTTGCCTATTCTTTTGATTTTAACTTTTTATGTTGACATCATTTTTAACTAATTTTTATTTTATAGAATTCCTTATTTACACGATTTCGATCTACATACATGCAACATTAAATTTAGAGTTCAGAGTTATTTTTTATGATTTTTGAAAACTACTAAACAAATTTAAAAACATTGAGCAAAATTGAAAGCGCAGAGCGAATTTCAAATCCGCCCAACGAAATTTTGGCAAAATGAAACCTCAAACACTGTCCAAATCTACTGGATGAATCTGAATGCATTAAGAGAGTTTAAAAGCATTCTTAACATTGTCTTAAATTCGCTAAGCAAATTTAAATCCACTGGGAGAATTAGTAACCGTAGCAGACTACAAAATATATTCAATACCTTGTTTCTAATATTCTAAATCAAATTAATTATAAACCTTATCATCTATATTATAAATCAATTCAATAAATTCAATTTAAGAACAATATGTTCATACAAAAGATTGTTTTTGTACGCTTAGTAGTCCCACATCGTTTAGGAGTCGAAGTTAATGATAATCTATATACATTATCCTCTCTCAACCCACCGAAAGGTCTTTTAAGGATAAAATCGTGACGAACGAGAGTTCTAAAGTGAACAGTATCTCAGACATAAGATATGAGGTATGAACATACTCGTTTCTAAATGGAACATTGACGCCCATTGTGGGACAGAGAGTAAAGTCTAGCTTCACTCATGTATATCCCTTAGTCATCTTAGACAAATCATAACGGATATAAGGCCAAAACACTATCGTTCCTAGACGAATCAAGGATTATCTTTTTCAATCTTATATAAATCAGTTATACATTCACATTTAATACAATTATCACAAATCAACACATACATAATCACACAACCCAATTTCTTAAAACTTAAACAATGTGACCAAGTCACCTTCATAATTTATATCTTCTAGCCTAAAGTATTATGAAAATTAAATAATAACTAATTTTCCTTACCTAAAACACAATGCCTCCAGGTCAGAGAACCTTGAATACTCCTAAATTTACAAAAAGATACATTTTGCTCACAAAAAACTTCAATTAATAAATTCAACATATCACAGTGCTCCTAAATTAATTAAGATTCATCTTTTCACAATAAAATCTATATGCAAGTCCTTGAATACCAACAAGCAACAAAAACCCAATATATGAAAAAATGGTCTAAAATTAGAAAAAGAAAAACTGACTCTATTCAAAATTTTAATTGGATAGAAATGATCTTCTCTTTTTTTGGGAATATTAAAGTTTGTTTGGATAAAAAAAAGATAAGAGAGAATAAGAAATTGAGAGAAAAAAGAGAAAAAATAAAAATAAAAAGATGATAATTTTATAAAAATAAAATTTAAATATTTAAACTTTTTTATTTATAATTTTTTTTAACTTAAACGTTAAAATTTCAAATTTATGATAAATTTAATTTTTTATTTTATTAAATTTCAAGTTTTCTCTAAAGAGAAATAAACAGAGATTTAAACTAAATTTAATATATTAAAATTATAGTTTTTTGTTTACTATTATTACTTGGAAAAAACATGTTTAATTTATAAAAAAATTACTCTAAAACAACTTATAACACGAATTACTAAATTTCATATTCACAAGAATGAAGATTAATTGATTTTCTATTTTTAAATGTTATAATAATTTATGTGGTATTAATTCTAATTTTAAATATTATATTAAATATATGGTCAACATTACTTTAATTTTAGTTTATAATTTTTTAATAATGAAAATTACGTTTAAAACATATAACTTGAAAAAAAAACACATTGAAATAATTATGTTCTATTACTTTTTCTTACTTTTGAATAAAAAGGTTTATAAAAAGGCCATGCAATCTACTTTTGAATATTCATGATATATTTTAACTAAAAATGTAAAATTATTATTATGCAGAAAATTTAAAGACATTGTCACATATTATAAATTTAAGACATTATTAAATTGTAACTATGATAAAATATTGTTTTTTTAATTATATCAGACTTATTTTGTTGTTATTTATTGACATTTTTAATAAATAAGAAAGTGAATATATATATATATATATATATATATATATAACTTAATTTTCAATTATATTTGAAGTTTTTAAAATTATTATATATTATCATTTGATTGAGAATTCAAAACAACACATCATACTCATGGGTTCATGTATTTGAAACAAAACAAGTGCCTAAATTAGTTGAAAAAAATTTAATTCATCAATCAATTTTGAAAATTGCAAAGCAAACAAATTTAAATGGAGTCTTTGCCTGTTTTTTACTGTGACATTTTCAGAAGTTTTTTGGAAATGTAATAAAAATAATTATTTAAAAATATTTTAAATTAATATTTTTTGAAATAGTAAATTTATATTCCATAAAAATCATTTTTAGATTTAATTTTATATAAATTTTATAAAATGATAAAATTATCTTATAGATTTCATAATTTAAAACTTAAAAAATTATATGCTTTCATATTCATTGATTTTTTTTTAAATTTTCAATTTATAATATTTTAAAATATGTTTTATCATATAAAACTAACAAAAATATTGATCTTTTCAAATAAACGTCGGGCGTAAGAAGAAAAGTATGGAAGTGTGGGATGAATGTCAAGAAAAGGATGGAAATATTATTCGTTAAAATTCACGATAGATATCATAATCTAATTTTCCTTCGTTCCATGCAAGTGATGTTTTTTTTTGTTTGAAAATTATGAAAAAAAAAAGATAAAATAAAAATATCAGAACTATGTTATTAGAATTAGAGAAATTTTATTACATTTTATTTCATAAAAGATTAAAATTTCTGAGGAAAAGTAAAAGAGGAAATATGTATCTAATGAGTTGGTTTGATTGGAATAACCAAGACAGGTTGAGCCTTCTCCAAGGTGAGTCCAAATTTTTCATCCATATTCATATCCTGTGGTTGAATCCCACCCTCAAGCTCCCAATCAAAGGAATTGATGAGCAACCCCAACATCAAGAACAACAACCTTATGGCCAATGGCAAGCCAGGGCATATTCTCCTCCCACCACCAAATGGGGTCAGCTCAAAGCTCCTTCCTTTATAGTCAATTTCTGACCCCAAAAACCTCTCTGGCCAAAACAAACCTGGCTTGTCCCACAAATTAGGGTCCCTTCCTATGGCCCACACATTAACTAACACTTGTGCACCCTTTGGAATTGTGTATCCATGCATCTCGAACTCCTCTTCAGCTTTTCTAGGTAGTAAAAGTGGAACTGCAGGGTGCAGCCTGAAAGTCTCTTTCACTATGGCTTGCAAATAAGGGAGTTTAGCTATGTCTGATTCCTTCACAAGGTTACCTTTTCCAATAGTCCTCTCTAGCTCTTGTTTTGCCTTTGACATAACATTTGGGTTGTGAAGTAACTCAGCCATTGCCCATTCGACTGTGGATGTCACTGTATCAGTTCCTGCCACAAACAAGTCCTGACAAAAACACATTTTTAGCATGTAAAAAGCAACATAGGATAACAAAAATGAGAATTATATACTGAATATAAGTACCAATGACAAATGTTGAATCTTAACCCTGTCGGTCTCTTGACAATTCTCTTGAGCATTGTTGAGAATGGCATCCAACATGTCATTTTTGGTGCAATAACCAGCATCATCTTTTCTCAGCTCCAACCTTTTGTGAATCAAGCCCTCGAATATGTTCAACAGCTTCGAAAAGTAACTTCCTGTGCGTCTTCTGATGCCGTGAGGGTCAAGCACCTTGAGCACCGGGAAACAATCAGCCAAATTTGGCCTTCCAATCTCTTTCATGATGTTGGTCACCAGCTCCTTGAACTCCCCCGCTCTTTCAGCAGACTGAACCAAATCCTCTGAGTAGACTGTGTTTGACAACAAATTTATTGTCGTCTTGAAAGCCAACCTTCCAAATTCATGCTGTTAGACAACACGGTTCAAACAAACAGAAAAGGTACACTCGATGGAATAACAAAAACATTTTCTTTTTTCCCTTTAAATGGTTTTTTTATAAAGTACTCATGAAACACAAAGTTATCATATTTTGTAATGGTGTAATTATTATGTTATAATATTCAATGCTTTGTTGGTGGGTAAGGAAGAGACAAGACAAGAGTGATGATGATTCATGAATGATCATTTTCAAACAAAATATCTATTAGATATTATTATAATATTCCGATAAAAAATAATTTAAATTTAATATTATATTATTAAATGAAATTGTCAAATAGTTATTTGAAAAAAAAGATTGATTGTCAATCAATTTTTTTTCAAGAGACAAAGAGGTGCATAAAAATAAATTATTAGAAAAATAAATATAAAATAAAGTAAAAATTAAAAGCATTTAATTAAAAAACAGAAAAAGAGGAAAGAAATATTAAAAATATATACGGTAAAAAACGCAATAAAGTCTTATCTTTTTGTTTTCTTATACTCTGCGATATTTTGTTTTATCATTGTTAATAGTAAATTTTTAAAACACAATAATTTCATATATCTACAATTTTTTTTTAAATTAGAAAACCAGCTACTTTTTTGTTATTATATTCTCATTTTCACTCAATCTCTAGTAATTTTTATCTATAAATCTATTCTGAAATTAAAATAAAATATATCATATTTTTTATTTAATTAAAAATAGTATATATTATATTGTTTTACACACAAAAAATAGATACTATAAAAACGAATGGAGAAAATATTTTTCATTGTCACTCTTATAATAAACATGTAAATTAATTAAAAAACAGATGAGATAGTCACAAATATACAAAAGAGAAAAATAATTAATATTAACTTGAAAACCTCGTAAAATATAAAAGTAATAGGAAACAGCTTCCGTAATTAAAAACTAATAATCACATTTATCTACAAACCTTCCAATATTCACAGGTTGACCTCTCAAGCTGCTATGGTGAATGTCACTGAAAAGCTCTTGAATCTTGTGGCTTCTGAGTCCCTCAGTGGAGTCCAAGTTCTTGTTGGAGAACAAGAGGCCATTGCAGAGTTTCCTGAGCTCTCTCCAATTGTGTGAAACTGGGATGAAGGGTAAGCTAAACTGGTCATGGTTGGCACCTTTCATTGCATCAGGGATCTTCCTGTTTGAGAGAAAGTGGTCGTGGATTTGGAGCACCCCTTTGGCTGTCTCCGCTGAGGACATCACAATGGTGGTGATTTGTCCGAGTTTGAGGCTCATTATTGGGCCATGAATCTTGGCCAAGTTGGCCAGGGTTTGGTGGGGCTTGGCACCCAGTTGGAGAAGGTTTCCCACTATGGGAAGACCTCGAGGACCTGGTGGATGCTTTGGTTTGGTTTTGTTTAGATTCAGGAGTGAAGTGAGGGCTTTGAGAAAGGTGATGGTGAAGAGAAAGAGGATTGTGAAAGTGAATAATGTTGTTTTTGTGTCCATCTCGTGTCTGTTACTCTGTGTGTGAAGAGAGAGAGAGAGGGGATGAGCAGATCCACTCAAGAGAATTGAACTTTTGTGCTGCTAAGTTGTAGATAGTTCAGATCTGATAGATTACATGTGCAAATAATAATTTTCCAACCCAAATTCATACATCTCCTATAAATAACCCTATTTTAATATTATAATAATAGTTTTACTTTATTTTTATTTTTATTAAATCATTCTATAGATTATTATATTAATAAAAATGACTTGTTTTAAGGTTGTATGGTTTGTGATTGTCAAAATATCACCACTCGTTGAGGGGTGGATATTCAACATTCGAAAACGATACTTTGACAACCGAAAAAAAAAACATTTGTTCAACAACTGGGCCAAAAATAAATTAATTAAAAATAAGGGTTTGATTAGTAAAATTGTAAGGGGTCAGAAATGTAATATTGTAAAAATGGGGGATGTTATGGTAAAAAGTGAAATATATATTTGAAGAAGGTACAATATTTTTCGCTTGACACATTCTCGCTCGACTTAGGGTAAATTTTCGCTTGTCTTCTCCATCTCGCTCTTCATGGCGCTCGACTTCCTCTCGCTTGTCTTCCTCCGTGTCGTTGGAGCTGAACATCACTGTCTGTCGCTTGAGCGACCCTGCGGTGAGTGTTCGTTTAACAACATTTGCTTGATTTTGTGTGTATTTTTGATTGGGTTTCCATTGTTGTTTTCTTTTATGTTTAACTTTGATTGAGTTTGTAATGAAGGTGTTTTTCACGGTTTAGGGTTAATTGAGTTGTGATGCTATATTAATGTCGAACAAGTGTTTGATGAAATGCTATAATGAAGAATTGTATTTACGCATTCTTGCTTTATTTTCTGTTTATCTTTGATTGAGTTTGTAATGAAAGTATTATGTAGGGTTTAGGGTTAATTGAGTTGTGATGCTATATTAATGTCCAACAAGTGTTTGATGAAATGCTACAATGAAGAATTGTATTTGCATGACAATATGGTAAGTTTGTTTATTTAATGAAAAAGTGTGATTCAATATATTTTTAAAAATTATATTTATTAATATCATATGGGTTGTTAGGTGATGTTGTTTGCAAGTAGTGTAATGATGTATGACGAAATGAATGTCATTGGTGGCGGCATTCAACGTTTTTGTTTCAATCCTTTGTTTGCGGTATGTTTATTGTGCATTTAAAAAGTTAAGTTGCACATAGGTATATTATCATTGATTGTCATTTATTTTTGTGCCTTTTGATAGACACAAGTGATTGAACAAATGTATATTCGTAAAGGAAAAATATCGACGTGGACAATGAAAGACTTCTCACTTTTCTATCCAAATACAATTATTCCATTGCAGCAGTTATTGAGTTGTGAACTTGTGAGTATTTATACTTTGCCTAAAATTTATATTTTTGTCAAGATAAAATTCAATTAACCAGAGTTTTTTCTATTTCAGATTTTTGCTCCCACTGTACATAATGGTCATTGGTGGTGTTATGTGCTGAAATGTAAGGATGGAGAACTATTTATATTAGATTCATTGGGCCATGATAATAGATCACGAAAATCAATTGATAGAGCTATGATAAATATTTGTTTTAAGTTGTTTACGTAGGTAATATAGTTAATTCAGAGCTATGTTTATTTGGCGAATAATGTAATATTGTGAACAGTTGCAATGTTTTGAACATCTATTGTCGCTGTTGGAAACAAAGTCATCGAGGACCACTGGAGAACTTAAGGTTACAAATGAGGACTTGCCAATTCAACAAAACATGTTAGTATGTTATTATATTTGAAATTTTGTTTGCAAAATGTTGTATGTAATGTGTGTAATAACTACATTCAATTGTGCAAGTATGATTGTGGATTGTTTGTTTTAAAATATATGGAGTTGTGGGATGGTGTGAGCAAAGTGAATGGGAAAAACATGCCTCATTACACATCGGTAATCATTAAAGTCATTGTATTATTGTTTTGTTTTTTATTACTATGAATATAATTTATTGTGACATTCTTCATATTGTACAGGAGCAAGTTCAGAAATTTCGAGAAGAATATGTATGCAGATGGGTACTTCATCCTCAAAATCTTCATCGACAAGTCATGATTATTGAATCAAGAGTTAACTTCCTCATCTAGGAATATAAATGTAGATTTATCTTGGTCCAAATAATATATTATTAATAAATAAAAAATAAAAATAAAATGAAATAAGAAAATGAAAGGGTGAAAAGATAAAATTATAAATATATACTTAAATATATTAAATGATAATTAAGTTTGAGGAGGACAAAATTATAAATTATATGAGAGTTACAAAGCGAGGAGGGGTTGAGAGGATAAAATTGTAAATATACAAGTAAATATATATTAAATGTTCATTAAGTTTGGGAGACCAAAATCATAAATTACATAGGAGTTACAAAACTTTGGGGGAGGTCATGAACCTCCTCGACTTCCAAGAAGATCCGCCACTGATCGGGTTGTTTTTGATACTTCTTGTCAAAATGTGAATTTAAAGTTTTAGATTCATGAAAAAATTGAGTAGATTATAAACTATAAAGATTTATAAATAGATATTTTAAGATTTTGGTTTTAAGTTTACATGTATTATATTTTTTTATATGGTTGGTTTGAGTTTTATTTATGAGAATTTTTTTATTATTGATCTTTTTCATAAATACTTGAAGTCAATAATTTATTAAATGATTGATTCAATTAAATATAGGGTGAAAAGTTCATGTGTTGAAAATGTTAATATCGATTCCACTCGAATGAGTCCCATTAATTTATTAAGTGATTGACTTAGTTAAACATTACTTATGTTGAAAGTGTTAATAACAATTTTACTCAAACCAATTTCATTAAGTACCAATCTCATTAAGTGACTACCAACGATGATATAAATAAGATTTCACTTAAGAAAAGATATATTAATAGAAAAAAAAATAAACGGTCATAAAAAATAAGAAAATTGAAAAAAATTATAAATAAAAAAATTATATATGATAAAATTTTAAAAAATATATATATCTTACTTTTTATAAAATTGACTCAAATTTCTTTAATAAGAATTTTTTGTTGTTATTAGTCTAAATAAAAATTTTCGTGTTATTAGTGCCAATCGAATACCAGCACTTGTCCCTTGTCAAACACTACATTGTCAAACTGTACTGTTTTGTATCTTATCTTAATGTTTTTTCTGACAACTTATTTGGCATGGAAAACATTGATCATCTGTAATTAGAAAAAAGAAGACTGGTGATTCATTGCCACTTCTGGGGTCCCCTCCCTCCAAGTTATCCTTCTTCAACTGTGTCAGAGTACGGCCAACATGAACTTCAAGCTTTATAAAATCATATGGAAAAAGAAGTTTAACTATGTGAATATATAAACAAACAAACAAATAAATAAAAGATATTAACTTATTTTAAAAATAAAAATTTATTATTTATTATAATATTTAAAAATAAATTATAATTTGAAGACATTAGATGCTTAAAAATATATAAAAAATAAAGAGTAAATCTTTCATTTATTTTTTGGTAAGAAATTTTTTATATATATTTCACGAAAGAATTAAGTCTTTAAGAAACAAGATACTTCATTTATAGTTAATTTGATTAAAAAGATTCGGAAGTTGTTCTACAACTTAATTAGCTTCAAAAACATGTAAAAAAACAAAAACGTTACAAGTTTGTTAGAAAAGTCAACTGGGTGGACAGTGGCGCATGATTCTTCTCATATGCATATGGTGTACTAAATTAGTAAATTATTATTGCATCATTATTTAATTGTTAATCGATGCAATAATTATATATTTTATATAATTCATTATCTGTCAGCTATTGAATGAGATAATGGCTAAGTGTGTCTAACTTCATTTTCGGTTGACATTTATATGTGAATTTCAATTAACTATTCATTTTAGTTGCCAATTAAAGAAAATATCATTCTTCTAGTACTCTCTATCTTACATTTCTAGAGGATTAGTTTAATTTTAAAAAATAAACAGTATCTAGAGGATTCAACACAACTTGAACTTAATTAATTAACTCTAAATTTAAGTTGAAGATATTTAAGAATCAATTGGGTCCCACAAAATCATGATGATATCATTTAAAATAAAGAATCAATTATTAATTGCTTTATCTTCTGAATGAGAAATTAATTTTATATATATATATATATATATATATATATATATATATATATATATATATATATATTTCTAGGAAAGATGAATAATTTTAGAATGTATTTGTCAATTTATTAGTTGATATTTTTTATGAAAATATTTAATCATTTTTTTCTCATCATATAGAAAAATAAAAATAAAAATATTATAATTTAAAAAATAATAATTATAATTTATATATTTACAAATAATAAAAATATAAAAAAAAGAAAAAATGAATATATTTATAAAGTTAACAAAAATAAAAAATATAGACTCAAACCTTTTTTATTTTTATAAGAATTTTTAAATGTAGTAAAAGTAATTTATTGTCTGATATTTTATTTAAATCCTTATAACATTGTGATAATAAATGAAAGAGATATGACTTAAGATATTGTCATCAAGTTAATAAAACTAGTTGTCTTAATTCCAAAAACTAATATCAATATCGAATATTGGATTGTAATATTAATTCTATATATATATATTTTAAGAACTAAACAGAAAATAAGATATGTATATTTTAAATATTTAAAATTTAATTTATTGAAAAATATATTTAAAGTTTTTAAACATTCATTGTTAAACTTTTAAAGTGGGTTGAGAAATCCATGCCATTCCATTTGAAAAGTTTAATCCCTTTACAACTTTTTTTCACTATACATTTTAATATGTTTATAAATATTATAACATTTAAAAATTGAATTTTGGGACTATCATAAAAAATAAAGGAAGACAAAGTTAACACGGAGTTTATGAATAAAAAAATGAACACGGAGTTGACCGATCTTTGACCAACTATCTGTTAATATCTGTAAAGAAGATTTTAATGTCAAAAAATCTTCATTCAAATTTTGGGATTTTTTTTTAAATTTTTTTTATAAAACTTGTTTCTCTCATTTAATATTAATTGGATAATCTATTATTTATAACGCTGGAGAAACAAAAAAAGAAAAAAGAAAAATCATTTCTAACTGGGGAAAAGAAGAGAAGAGAGAGAAAACTCTCGATCAATTGTCCTTTTCCTGGGAAAAGGAAGAAAAAGCTGACGAACACAGAAACAAACAAACACAGATCCACGAATTCGAGCAAAAGCAATTCATTCGTTCGTTCATTCATTGGTCAATCGATCGATCGATCCCAATTCATATGAAAATGGGTTTGGGATGTTGAAGCGTGGGTTCAGAATTCGCTATGGAAAGGGAAAAGTGGAAAGGGAATTGCAATAGCAACAGCAACATCAATGGGTACTATTACGACAGGGTTGGGTGTGATTATTACATCGGAGAGGTGCCCAGCAGAGAACGTAGCCCTACCAAGGCTTCTTCGCCTCCCAGACTTGGATACATCGAACACCATGTTTCCAAATTCGATACCTTGGCTGGTGTCGCTATCAAGTATGGTGTTGAGGTACTCTTTATTTTTTTTCTTGTATTATCATCATTTTAATTAGATTTTATCTTTTACTTATTTACTTCATAATTTATAATTTCTGCTTTGTATCAGCTTGATTCTGATTGTGTATTAGAATCTGTGTTACGGATGATTTAAGTTTTGTGTGTTTGTGTGCACGCACGTGTTTTAACCTCTTTGGAATGTTGACGATAAAAGGGTAGGTATACGTCAAATTCATGCAAGAGGGAATTTGATGATCGAAGGGTACCATACGGGTCAAATTCATGCAATAGGGAATTTGATGATCGAAGGGTACCATACGGGTCAAATTCATGCAATAGGGAATTTGATGATCAAAGGGTACCATACGAGTCAAATTCATGCAAGCGGAGATTTGATGAAGAAAGGGTGTTATATGTGAGTCAAATTTAATGATAATAGGTTAGCTAATGAGTGAAATTCATACCAGCGGGAATTTGACGATGAAATGGTACCATGAGTCCAATGCATGCAAGAGGGAATCAGATGATGATAGAGTTCTATAAATGAGTCAAATTCGTGTAATTTTTGTGGCAAGCGATGTGGGTGCAGCCTATGTTTGATTACGATATGGCAAAACTTAGATATAGTTTTTTAGGTGCTTTTGATGTGTTATTTTCTAATCAGAATTGCAGTTTGATTGGTAACGTATCTTCATCTTTGATGCAAAGCTTTGTTATGTGTCCTGCACCACTTTTGCTAGGAGCACTGTGTTGAATTCTTATTTCTCAAGTTTTTTTCTTTTATCAATTTGAGTTGTGCAATGAAGTATAATTTCTTCAGCTCTTTTTGATTTGGAAAATTGTAGGTTGCAGACGTCAAAAAGTTGAATAACCTAGTTACAGATCATCAAATGTTTGCCCTTAAAACTCTCCACATTCCGCTACCTGGAAGGCACCCTCCATCTCCTTGTTTATCAAATGGTTCCAGTACTCCTGGGTATGTTTATCTCTGTTGGATTGAGGAAAAACATTAAATACAAGAAACTAGGTCTTAGGGAGCATTTGGTGAACAGGTTAGGCAGGGAAAGAGCATAACATTTATGTAAGTAGTGTTCTATGTTTGATGTACTTTAGAAAGAGTGCAGAATAGGACATAAGGCTAAGTCATTTGGTATATCCTGGTTCCACTAAAAGGGTGGAACCCAGGAGAATGTAACAAACAACTCTTCCATTATGTTTTATTTTTGTGTCAAATGTCGCCTCTTACTTTTTGGTCTTTCTGAAATATTTGAGAAAAGTATCGTGTATCCAACGAGATACTTACCTTAAATGAGTTTTCATAGGGGAGTTTGATACTTTGTGCATGCTTCATGATAAAACAGCCAGCAAAGTAATTTACTGTGCTTCGGTTAAGTGCATATGTTGGGCATGCTTGTACAGACAGACAAGAATATGAAGAGAATGCATCTAGAATGAAATTCAATGCTGTAATTTTTAGAATATATAGATTATAGGAACAGGGTTAATGGGTCTTAGGAAATTGACATGGTGGATAATTCAATGAGTTAATGGGTCTTAGGAAATTGACATGGTGGATAATTTTGTTCATCATAGTGTTGAAATTGGTTCTGGTCGTTGAAGATATATTCCTCTGTTTTTAAATGCTGCTTTTATATGTTGCTTTTTGTTCAAACTTGCTGTTTAAGAATTGCCTTTTAGCTTAATTATACTGTAGTGGGGTATCCTCTTTGCTTTGATATGACTTTAACCTGTCATGTGTGTTAGGTTCTTGCCATCTGAATTTCTGTGAACATGAATTGGGGTTCAAGTGGAAATTTCCGAAGAATTTGTAATTAAAGAAAATAGATCTCTAATATGCACTATTTATGTTGGATACAAAATTCTTCTACATCATTACTACTGTGTGATTTCTTTCCCAGTAGCATTTAACTCATTGATTGCCATGGATGTTGTCTCTTCAGATATGGTAACTCAGATTATAGTTCTCCTACTCAGGCACACAGTGAACTGCTTGATTCATTCCAATCCCTGAGAATAAAGTCATCTGACCGGAGAGTCTCACCAGCCATGATCTCATTACAGGGTTACTATGGACTTAAAGGGTCCTCATGTCCCACTGAAGATGGTAATACACCTATGTCTGAAAGACCTTTGAGTTGTCACCGAAAATCTAAAAGTTTGGTCAATGTAATTTTGGAAGAGATCATGGAAAAATCGAATGGTGCACCAGCGGCAAAAACCAGGGAAATTGACTCCACTAAATGGAATGACAAACTTGTCCAGAGACGTCAGAAATCTGTAGCTGACTTTACCAGGATACCAGAGTTGCGTTTGAGGGAGGATAATAGCAACACTGGTGTTCTTCCGTCAAGAACTGGAAAAGGCTTAGCTCTGAGACAGAAAGCACCTAGCCGAAACTCAATGGTAACTGATTCTGAAAATAATGGTTTGAATCCTGTGGCAATGGGTATGGGGGATGCTTCACTAAATGTTGGTTCATCTGGGGTGAGGAAATCATCAAGTACTTCCTGTTTACATGATCAAGATAACAGTGGCTCCTCTTCCATTTGGCCAACATCAATGTGGAATTTGAAACCAGACTTGCAAGCCCTCTCAACTGCAGCCATTGGAAAACCAATATTTGATGGCTTGCCCAAGCCAATAACTGGTCGAAAAAATAAAGCTGCACTTGATTAATGTATAGTATCATATCAAACACAATTTTGACCCCGTTTGAGAAGATATGGAATCATTAGCTGCTACACCAGTGGGTAGGTTGGAGGAAGTAAAACAATGTAGACAGGACATGAAAAAAATCAAACGTCACATTTTATTTCTTTGAATAGGGCATTATTTCTATGCCAGAAAATACTTCAATTTATTTATTTTTTAAATGTCTTGGCTTCCTAATTTCCATCTTAAAAAAAAAAAGAACAGGACTGAAAGGGTCAGAATTGTCTACCTTAGGCTTAACATAATCATTTTTTTGTAGTGTTATAGTCATTCTTTTGTTGGTTTGGGCACACTCAGATTGATTAATGTACAAGTTTGGAAGGGCTCTTTCGTCCTACACAGTAGGAATCTCAGTCTGCACCTCCCAAAAATATGAAATGATCAAGTTGTTCCCAAGTGTTTTTTAAATTTAGACTGTTGTTTTCTTACACAATTTTTTTCTGTCCCGGACAATCAATTTCAAAAAGAACTCAACAACCCTTTCAGAAAAGGCTATTCGAGAAAAAGAATTCAATTCCCTTACAGAATATCCATTTTGGAAAGATTTCAACACCGGGAGAGACCATTCTGAAATGCAGGCTTCGAAATTTGGATTTTTGTAAACGAGGATTTCGAAAGCCAGAAAAACTATTTCAGAACATTCAATGCGGAACTCTATTTGAATATTTTAGAGGGATTATTCTTTATTCTAAAATGGATAATTTGAAATTATTACTTTACTGTTTCAGATTATATATTTTGAAGCATCCTTAATAACATTTATTATTATGGTCATTTCATATTTTTGGGGTATAAGCCCATGATTCAATGTGTAGGTAGAAATGGAAGTTATATCTCCCCTTAAAATAATTAAGATCCACTTTGCGTGGTTTCCTTTTAAGATTTAATATTTCTAAAAGTACAATACCAAAAAAGAAAAGGTTTAGTGTACGAGTACAGATTATAGGAGTACCAAAAGTTTATTCCATTGAATTTATTTCTACTTTCTGAGTGTGTTTATTATACTGTTTAATTCTACATTTGCAGTGATCATATGAACTAGTTTGGCAATCGTATTGTAAACAAAATGGTCCACTACAGAGTAAGCATCGCAAAACTTCATGATCTTGACATTAATGAATAAACAAAGAAAAGGTTGTATGGTCGTGCACACTAAAATTTTGGGTCATCTTTCGTTCATTTCTGGAAAGAGTATTTGTTAGACTGAGTAAACTACCTATGGAGCCCCAAATATTGCAAGCGTTGGTTAATGGTTCTTGAATAATCTTTTTAATACCTAAGTCTTTGAATTTTTTTTTTACGACGTTAGTCCTTAATCATTAACGATTCTGTCAACAAAAGTCTAAATGAATTAAATTAGCCTATTTGTCACCCCTAACAAATATGAAACTAAAACATTATTGATCTGCATTTGTTCCATGATTAGAAGAAATAGTATGAAGATGATTCCGAAAACAACAATTCAGGATCTGTTACAAACCATTCCGAAAAGGATATTGCAAAATGAATTTTAAACTACTACACAAGGCTACTTCAGTAGTGATCAATCTTATCAATCGCATTTCAGACTGAATAATTCAAAATAATTAAAAATTAATTCCAAATTATCCATTCCGAAATGAAGATGGATATAATTCGAAATGTTAATTTGTGAAGGGATTACATATTCTGAAATTTTTGCTTTTAGTGTTTTTCAGAGTGTCTACTGTAAAATATGTATTGAGGAACTATCTTTTTCACACATCCCGTGCTATAAACGGAAAAACTTATAATGGGTAAATTGAAAATTTTGGTGTGCAGGCCTAAAACGTCTAGTGAAGTTTAGTTCGTAAAGAGTATCTAGGTCCCTGAAGAGCCTAATCCTCAGGCTTTCTTTTGTGATGTTTAGAAATGGGATTATTAAAAGGTACCAACAATCTCTCCTATCTTCTCTCGCAGTGAACTATGATAATAAAGCATGTGATATGGCACTTAAAAGTAGAAAATTGATCAATTGATTAGGTCTGATGGCAGTAAGACTGCAAATCATCGTCAACCTTGCATATCACATTGATGGGGAAGGCAAAATGCCAGACATCAGATATGATTTATACAATGAAATACAAAAAGATTTTGGTTCAAGTTTCTTTCAGAAGTATACAAAATAACTACAACTGCATGAAGATGTGCATGCATCAGAGCTACATAGTACAACAATCTAAACATCGTAATGTGGAATAAAACGCCATCCTATCAGAAATATTTTACTAAATTTCATGAGAACTATCCTTACAATTATAAGTGTCCTTGCATAGAAATTGTCTGTAAAATACATAACAAGAAATTCTGTTCGTCCATGGCAAATATGTAGTTCAAAGATCTAAAGTTTCGGATGCAATGGAAGTCTGAGTGTCTGACCTTGTTCTTTGTGCAGTAACCCATTATAAACATGAGAAAGGTAATACCAATCTTCATCTCCGCTTACGCAAAAACCTGAAATATTCAAGTTACTCAAAATTCCTCTTCAACAACATAGAAAGGTTAACCGACAAGTCAAGCATTATATCGTGCTCGAACCCTAAAAAAGGATATATATCTCTTTAAAGAATATGACATGACATCAAGATTAAAAATGTCCATAATTGTGTTGCAATCCAGAGGCTTGGCATGCCTGTTCTATATACAATTACTCATAATTTCAAGTAACAAGTTGCATGCAAAGCAATTAATACGGCTATTCCTGAATTTGAAATGTTTTGATAGAAAAACATAACAGAAAAAGTTCAACCTGTCCTGTTTTTCAGCAATGAAGATATGAGCTCTTGTATTAAAGCAAAACTTCTTGTGCCTGCGCTTCTCAGTAACTCTGTAATATCCATGAATAAGTTACAATAAATTAACCTGTCTACAGAATTCGTTAATTGTATAAAATTCTCAGTATAATACCGTTTATAAGCAAACATTTATATTGCATTCAAGTTTTTCATATACGCTTTTCAAAGGTACTTGTGCTTTAATTCCTACAAACATAAACATGCACACGTCTTCATAATTTTAAGCCCGATAAATAACTCCAAGAAAATAAGAAAAAAATTAAATAAATTTTTCTATAAACTAAAATTAGCTCATACAAAAATTAAAAACCAGATTGGAAACAAGCTAATATAAGATCATATTTACAAATTAGTTAATTTATAAACTATTCTTTCCTCGTGAAAAAAGTTATTCTATTTTTCCTTTGTATTTTCTTCTCCTAAGTGTGTGTAAGGAGAAGTTTATCCTAACAAATCCTTAATATAATGATCATTATTAAAGTTTTTATACCTTTAATCTACAACTTTAAGAAGCAGAATATGAAACGCACAGTAAATACCATTCCTGAGATCAGCTAATCAATGGAAAATCCGCGTATTGCTACAGTAATGTTCTTTGATGACAACTTGCCATAAATTTTTTATATGATTTTGCCCTTTAAACATCATGTAGACCTAAAGGAAGTGTTATATCTGATTTGTTTTCAGTTTTAACTGTCAAATGATGTTTTTAATAATAATTAGAAAAAGGGAACACTAAAAGTTGATGTCAAGGTAAACACACCCAATACAATCTGTACAATGTAACACAGGAAATTAAAGGGTAAGGGAACTCCCCAAACTGCTGGAAGGTTCAAAAACTTCCTGAATCCAAACCAACGTCAGTGTTGATTATTTATTAGATTAGTTGTACTAACTATTAACCTAGTTCCTAGAATCTATCTGTTTATCTTCTCTAGGTTTAATCATTTTTCCCTATTTATTGTATCTCAGAATCTGTATCTTTATTTCCTATAAATAAGAGAACACAAGAGAAAATGATATGATCTCAGAAACATCTTTTTATTTTCCTATTATCTATTTCAAGTTGGTATCAGAGCGGGAGGCTCGTCCCGCTCTGCTTGTCTCTCCTTTTTCTCCATCGTCTACCGCCGTCATCCCCCAGCGCCGTTTCACTCACCTTACTTGGGTTAGGACCGCCTCGAGGAGCGCAACCCAACCTCGGTGATCGCTATCTCTGTTAGACGCGCCGCCTTCATCCACTGCTTCCTCCATGCTTGTGGTTCACGCGCCGCCTACCCGGTGACCGTTTTGCTCCAGACCACCACCATCTGGTTTGCCTCGTCGTCCTGAAGCCGGATCTACCCTTTGTTTTATGTTCCAATTTGGTAACCCCTTTCGTATACGCTAGTTATTCTATGTTCAAGCAAAGCGACACTGGTTCTTGGTACTCTCTCATTGCTCTTGGTCTTCTCTCTCCAAATATCTTGCTGAATATTTTTTTCTAAAGAGTCCTCTTTTGTTTCCTGAATAAAAATGTTAGGACCTACAACATCTGTATCTTTTTCTGGGACTCCTACAACAACAAAAAAATTAAATGGAAGAAGTTACTTGTCTTGGGCCTCCTTTGTTGAACTCTGGTTTCTAGGACAAGGGGTTCATGATCATCTAGAAGACGACGGAAGTACAAAACCAGCAAATCAGGCTCCTTAATAGAAGAAACTTGATTATCAACTCTGTGCTCTATTATGGCAATCAGTTGAACCAAATATTTTGAGCACTCTCCGATCCTTCAAGATATATAATTCCTTCTGGAAAAAGGCCTAAAATATCTTTGCTAATGATATTCAACAACTCTATAATTCTGCTAATAGACTAGCCTCCCTTAAGCACGAGGATAATAATATGTCTTTTGTTGCTGAAGCTCAATCAGCACTTGAAGAATTAAAAATGTTCCTTGAGGCAGATTCATTAGAGGAGAAAAAGAAGAAACTGGATAAATTCTATATGGTTATGATTCTTAGGGCTATGAATCCAGAATTTAATTGTGTTAGAGATCAAATTTTAACTGGACAAGAAGTTCCTTCTATGGAGAGTTTGATAACAAGGCTACTTCGTGTTCCATCTATCAAAGGTAAAAATAGTCAAGAACTTGCTGAATCTTCCGCCATG